CACCATTTGCGTGTCAAGGAAAGGGGAAGGCGATTCTCAAGGAGAATGACTCAAGCGCCCGTGCTCCATGGCTTTTATTGAGAGGGTTACAAGCAGGAGATAGGTAGCGGGAATGTTTAGGTAATCTAATTACATCAGTCTCTTAAGTTTACCGAGAGTAGGTGATGTTTAAAGAAGACAATGGCAGAAATACACCGAATTGCTTGGGTCCAAGATGAGTAAACATATGGCACCAGATGGGATTTGGGTCAGGGTCCAGGAAATTTGTAAATTTCCTTCCCAGCTTTGAGTTGGTTATCTACTATAAGGTTAACAGAGCTTGAGGGAGACACAAAGCATCCTCCAAGGAGTATAATTTACTTCTAGGCCTGATTTCCCCCGGGGGGCCCTTGGAGCTATTATCAGGTCCTGCCTATCAACCGCATTAAGAGTGTTCTAGCCAAGACTTATGGAGCCTCTCTCAGGCCTCAGCTTGCGTGGGACTACAGTCCCTGGTACCACTCAAAGCGGCCCCCTACAGGGATTTATTTAAGAAAAAGAAGATCAAAACTATGAACAATAAAATTTCACTAAATATGTATCTATCAACAATTGAATCTAAAAAACTAAGCAAACAAGAACAGGGACAGAATTATGGATATGGAAAGTGTTTTGATGGTTGCCAGATGGGAGGGGGTGTGGGAGAGTAGGTGAAGAGGTGAGGGGATTAAGAAGCACAAATAGGTAGTTACAGAATAGCCATGGGGATGTAAAGTACAGCATAGGAAATGGAGTAGCCAAAAAGAACTTATATGCATGACCCGTGGACATGAACAATGGTGTGGGGATTGCCTGAGGGAATGTAGGGTACTGGCTGGAGGGGGGCAAAGGAGGAAACTCTGGGACAATTGTTAATAGTATAATCAAAATATAATTAAATTAAAAATCAATTAATAAAAAGACACAAAGCTCATCTTTTCCCATAGTATTATACAATATTCTGTGCTTGGTGTTTGACATGAAAAAAATGCTATTGTTTTATTTTTCTGAAATTATGAAGCTTTTCTTAAAAATTTCTTGGAATGCTCTGAGATATTTAATCCATTAGAAGAGAAATATTCGACACTTTGGGTCATCACATATGTTTGTTCATTCAGTGCTTTCTGCCACTCTCGTTTCTGGACAGTAGGATATATGGATTGCTCTCTGTCCACCTTCATCCCCATTTAGCACCCTTGAATCTAACTTCATGCAGTGAGCTTCCTCATCAGTGAAGAAAATATTTCAATATTACTACGTAATTGGGCAAGCTAAGGTGGTTGACTTATGTTTCATGATTGACAAGAGGTCTGCTAAGCAATTAAAAAAATAAAGCAAGATTTTAGGATAGCTATAATGGCTAACATTAACTGATTCTCCCAAGAGCTTTGCATGCATCATTTTATTCACTCTTTACAGCAGTCCGATGAATAAACGTTCATTTCTCCATTTTCTGGCTGAGGTAAATAGAGAAGTGAAGTAACTTGCCCTAAATCACCCAATTACTGAGCATTTCTGCCCAGTGAGGTGGCAGAATTGACTGGAACCCTTGGCTGTTTGACTCCATAGTCTTCATTCTTTAACATTTTTTTTCTTTCACTATGGGGAAAATGCAGAATACACAGAATTTTGTGGGCACAGTCTATTAGGGGACATAGATGGATACAAGTTGATGCATTCACACAGGTGAACAATTCTTTTGCTCTTTCCATAAAAGTCATCTCTACTATTGTGCCAAATAAATTGAAGAATTAATTTTTAAGATTAAATTGTAATCTTTGCCTCATCTGACTTGGAATGCCTCTGCCAACAACTTCACATCCTGTACCGAGTATAACTAACATGTGGCCTCTGGTAGATGTTTAGTAAATGCTTATAGAATGAATTCTAATGGAATTGCCAAGAAATTTATGACTTAGTGCTTTGCAAGGCCCATTGGCTGTTGCCACAAAGCCTGACTTTACACCTTGCAGAAGTAGTGTTGGGGAAAGGAGGAAAAGATTTATAGGCCAATAACTATGCAAGTTGAATTATTTCAGATTACCACAACCCAATTAATTTTCTATTTTTCAATTTTTAAGCAATAGAATATAATTGTTAAATTCATATAAACTTCTGGTCTAATTATTTTCCTGGCAAACTTTATAATCAGAAAAGCCAATTTTACCTTGCTCGTACTCTTAGTTCCTTCTTCTAGTGCCTTATGCTATTTCACCTACACAGGCAGAAATGGAGCCAATGTCTTCAATCCTGTCTCTGAATCCCAACATGGTTAGTAGCCACTTGTTTCTAAATTTTAAAGTTCTCAACAGTCTAAACTTACTGTTAGAAAATGGAGTTTTGGGTCAGTGGCTTTCTGTACTCTTGTTTCTTTGCCCCATTCTTGGTAGAAGTGAGGCTTCCTTGTCTAGAGTTATACTCTGGACAGTAAAAGCCATGGAGTAGAGAACTGATTTAATTATTTTGAACAATCACAGGTGCTGCTTCATGGAACCATCTTGGGTGGACTTGGAAGTAAGTTAGGAATGTGGGAGCCTCATTTGCCCCATGCTGGCTTCCTAGGATTGCGATGGAAGAGCAACATAAATACTTCTGCTGATCTTGGTTGTTAGTTTACCAGCCTGAGATGGAAGATGATGTCAATTATTCTTATGCAGCTTCTCCTAAGATCCAGGAAGGCTGTTTAAATGACTGATGATGGGCAGACATGAGGGGAAGGAAGAGATATAGGCTCTGGTGAGCAGGAGAGTGCATGCCTCACATTAAAAAGGCAATAAACTGCTGTCCCTCTCGTTTGTTATTGCCTATTATTGAGTACGGATGGGTGTAATTTGAGGAAGAGTAGGATTACATAATCAGAATCATTGTTTTGTGCTGAAATTGGTCTTCCAGATTATTTGTGGAAACTATTAATAAATAATAATAAATTCCCAGTTTCTTAGGGGGAATGAAATTTCATTAGCTTTTTAATTGCTATGGAAAGAGAAACTGGAACCCTGGTAGCGGTGGGAGCTGAATTCCTGAATGTGGGGCCACCTAAAGTTTAAAAAGAATGATGGATCAAAGCTGCCAGTTTTGGGACCTGTTTGGAAATGTCAAAGTTCCTTATAAGTAGAAGCAATTGTAGTGGTCTTTTATTATTTCATAGATTCTCCAAGTCTTTCCAGGATGCACAGTAAATATTAAGAGGGGGAAGGTGCAACAAACCTAGTCGATACACTGGATCTTAGCAGCAGACTCATAAAGTAAATAAAAGTCAATGTACAGACAAAACTTTGTCACTGTTTACCCTTTAAAGGAGGATGAACTCAGAAACGATACTTCTTTCTGGCTTTCTGGCTGTGTAAAGATGACTGCTAACATTCATTTTACTACCATGGGAACTAGGATGAAGGTTAGTGGGTGTAGTGATCTGTTAAGGTAGACTAGTAATCTGATTTTATTGGATATAGGTGTTTTCACAGAAATGCTCATTACTAATGAATACATCAAAAACCATACTTTATTTTATGTATAGCAATACAATTTACATATTAAATAACACTATAATAGAATGATTTGATATAGTTTTAAACAGAAGAAAAAAGGGAAAATTTCAGGTTACAAAACCTCTCCCCCCCCACTCCCTGAACAAATTAAAAAAAAAAACCCAAAAACAACACTTTTTCCAAATGGGTCAATGCAACAATGTATTCAGTGACTACTTCTAATTCCTATTGCACAAATGGTTAATGTAATTAAAAAAGAAAATCCAACTTTCACAATCACTGCCTCAAAGAAATAACACATGTTGGATTCTTTTGGAATGCAAAGATGACTCTTGGCTACTTCAGTACACAGAAAGTTGAATTCACATATCCACCACAAAAACCAAAAACCAAAAACAAAAAACTATGACGGAGTTGAAACTAGAAAAAAATTAGCTTTATATGAAAATATAAAATTCTATGATTATATACCATAGATACAAAGTTCCCAGAAGATGCTTATTCAAGCAACAAAATATTTACAGTTTTAATGATTTTAGCTATTTCAAAATGAAATGAAAAAAACACGAATAGACATGAAGGCTGAGTTTTTTGTTTTTTGTTTTTGTTTTTTTAGAAACAATGGCTGCTTGCTAGTTTCAAATGTCCTAACAAAAAAAGGAGTCACTACCCCAAATGTTGGAGAGTTGCAACATTTTATAAAATCTGCTGTCTCCTTTTCTGGAGATGTTTATTTCTTAAAACTCAAGATAGTTTTCTTGAAATTAATTATCCTCTGTAGAAAATGCTTCCCTTTGCAAATATTTAACAAAAATACTAAAAACAGTTTAACAGCTAAGACAAAGTAGAGGCCAAATGTCATTATTACAATTCCTTCCTATTTGTAGCATGCCATCTTTCTAGAGATAAGTAAAGCCAATATTGTATGTTAAATGGTAACTAAGGGAAAGCGCAAGGGGGTAAGTGAAATTATAGCTGTTTAAAAAAGAAAAAGCAGGCATTTCCCCTTCATATAAAAATTCACTGACACCATTGTAACATAAACTTTAGAACATAGGAGTTGAAATGCACTTTCCAGTATAACTGCTAAATTCTTAAGACAATCTACATTTTGATTATTATTTCTTAAATTATGATGAGTTTGGGTTTCTTTTTCTTATTTTTTGCTTAGAATTAGTAATATGTATCTTTGGTAAATTGGTACTATATTTTAATTTTTAAATATAGTATATATGCATTTAAGAAAAAATTCATAAGAAGGCAGTTGTGCTGTGTCATTAAAAATAATTAAGGTTAGTTGTTGATTTAAGTATGTCACTCTGGGCTAAAAACTCCAACAGCCAGACCTTGAACATGGTAACCTTCTCTGACCTTGCTGGACTTTCTAACTTGAAATAGACTTTAAAAGCTCCAATGAGTAAGAATTAGGCAAACCAATTCAATTAATCTTATTCCTCTTGAAATTCAGGAGAGGGGGGGGATGGAGGGGGCGGGGGGAGAGAGAGAGAGAGAGAGAGAGAGAGAGAAAGTGGCTTTTGGATGCAGGAAAGAGTTCTTCTGATGGAAATAAGTTGTTTTTTCTCTGATGTCCAGCACAGCCACTTGGTCTGATCATTGCAATTCAAGTTTCTACAATGTGTGCATTCTCTTTACCTAAAGCTAAATTCATATAGCCAATACGCTTATTTTATAAAATAGCACACATTAATTTGCAATAGCTATTTCCTTTCCCCCTGAGTGCAAGTGGTGATAACCTTGTCCTGCAGTTCAGCAATGTGCTTATGTTCAAAGAAAACACCATATTTGAAGCTCTGCCTTGGGAAAGATGTAAGCATAGTTCTGCCAATAACAAATGAAGGATAATAGTGAGAATACACTCTGTAGTGAGAGTGAGGAATTTCTAAATATAACTATCCTAAATGAAGTATGTTGGGATCACTTTGGCAAGATGGACGAAGAGTAATTGCTTGTAGTTCAGTGGGTCAGCATTTGTATAGACTTTGGTTCAGGCCTGCTATAGACAAACTTTCTCACAGAAAACTTCTAAACCATCCATGTAACCTTTCTGTTCTATTTACTAGCTCTCTCTTTTATCATGTTTCTGATGGCCTCATAAGAGATGGTCACAGAATTATATTGGAGGGTATGCAGTTCCATGAACCGAGACCACAGTAAATAGCACCGGAGGGAATACTTGCAGTGTGTCTTCCAAAGTTTACTTTTATATTAAGAGAAAAATTACTTAAGGACCATGACTCCAACCTATGAACCCCAACTTGAACATTACTTCTGCAAGTCAAGTCCACTGTGCTAACTACTGGAAATAGCTCATATCAATACTCTATACAACCAAAGTAACCTACTTAATTAACGAAAATGCTCTAGCTCTTGCCATGATCTGAAACCCTTCCCTTCCTGATTCCCTTTAGCCTTCTGGCAGTTTTAGTGTTCCAGTGGCCAAGCTTTTTTCTTCAGTGTCAGGCTGAGCTTCTTTGTGTCACCTCTGATGGGAGCAGAGGGGCTATAAAGGCGTCTGCATCATCTAGTACATACAATTTAGCCAACTTTGCTCATTTGCACCCCTTTTCTCAAGCCGTAGTCTACACAGTTTGTGAACAGTGGGCTATTCTGTTGATGAATCTATGTGATCAAAAAGATGAGATTAACCTAGCCCTGGAAAGTTATGTAGTTCATGAAAACTCCATTGACCTTGCCTATGCATTGAACTCCTGTTCTCGACCTGTAGCTTCTCCCTACTTAGTAGCTTTGGTGCTTTTCAGCACTGTTCTGACAAACTTCATAGAAAGCCAACACAAGAGAAACAGAACCTATGTGCTGATTATCATTAATGTTCTAATGGCTACCAAGGTAGTACAATAGCCAGAGTGGGTTTTTTGTTGAAGTTTATTGACATAAAAAATAACCCCAACCCATTTTTTTCTCCTTAACAGGTATAGTTCTAGTGGTAATTTTGCTTCTGACAGAAGTTGTCCCTTAAAAGCAAGATAAGAATGAGATCTCAGTAGGTAGATTATTTTTCTAATGGAATTGAAGCTCATTATTAGTGCTCTTAATTTTCCTCTTATGTACTGTGGCATGAATGTGGCTCCACAGGCCAGACCAAATAACTTCCTGGGGCTCTGTGTAATGACTGCTTTATTGAAGTGTATCTGTTCTTGAGGTTAAACTATACAAAAACACACAAATTCATCTCTCCCTCTTAAAAACTATTTGAAAATGTAGATACCACCTTTCACTCAAGATTCTAATTTTCTCTCTCCAAATCTGATTTATCCATGTGTGGGAGTCTAGATAGTCCGAAGACTTTCTGCTAATACAGTATTTTCAATTAATCCTAAGTAGAAGAATGTGTGTAATTATGAGATTTATCACGAAACGTTTGGCAAAAAAGGAAAGACTATTACCTATATAGGTAGTTTTTATTAGATTGTTATATGAGTAATAGGGATTTTTAGAGGACTAGTTCCAAAATTACACACCTGCAAAAATTTTCGTCATTCCCCTGCCATGAGATACGGTGTTACATACCAAGAAGCATTAATGCAGAGTCACTAGAGGGTTTCTTAATTGAGTTGTGTGAAATGTTGCCATCGCTCTATTGTAAAAGATAGCCCTGATTTTAGGGTGTAGCTATTTCAGAGTCAAAATGGAAATAACACACAGTCCACATAGCTACTGTGAAAACTGTAATACAGAGATATCCTTTATTTTGACACAATTGGGTTTTTTTTTTAAGCTATGAGTATAAGTTTGTAACTAATAAGTGATGTTCACATGAAGCAACTCTTAAACCTTCTAATTTCTTAATGGATGTCTTCACCATCATAAATGGAACTGTTTCAAGGCTGTGAAGTTGACAGACCTTCTTAGTAGCTCCCAATGACCTGCTATTCTTTAAAAGAAAACAATTCTCATCCATTCCATTAATATATAGAAGGCATACAGTATTGAACAATGTCTAAAAAGAACAGGAGAGGAGGACTGAGGAAAAAATACAGCATTACCTGCTAGTAGAACTCAATTGCTTTAGCAATAATAAAAAAAACCAAGATACACTGTCATAACAACGACCTTCACTGTACTGAACTAAAAAAAGTAGCATGTATGTTGTTACGGAATGTCACATCAGTATTTGCTTTAGTATTAGATTATAGGCAGTAACACTGATCATATAGTGCAAACTAGGTCAAACTGCGTTTCACTGGGGGAAATGAACAGAGGTGCAAATGCTCAGTAGGATACCATTAAGACATAAAATGGCAAAAAATAAATATCAAAACTTTTATCAGTGTAAAAAAGTAACCGGGTTATTGTATAACCTAGAGTCTGGCAAAAAAGGCCTCAAAAAATTCTCAGTCTTCAGAAGTTTTACAAATTAAGTGCCCTGTCAGGATTCCAATCACACTAGAGATTCCATGCTCTCAGCAGGGTCCGATTCATCTGCAATTAGAACAGCACCATTTTTGTCCACTGTCATGGGACCATTTCCATTTTCTTTAGTGCTGACCAAGCTGAGCATTGCTTTATAGACAAACTGGTATTGTTCCTGAAAAACAAGAGGAAGATGATTTGAGCCAGAGGACGGCCATGTCATTTCACCAAAGTAGAAATGGTAGTTATAATTATAACGGAAACACACACTAGACCAACAGGAATGCACACTTATGCTGTCTAAAAAAAATCACGTGAATCCTTTATAACCAAGGCCTATGCTTTCTTCACATCCTTTTGATTTCTGTTTGCTTGGAATTAATTCTCATTGTTGACAATAAATTAAGATAAAGAGTATATCTGCATTTTATAACTAGAGAATACTATACCCTAAAAAACAGAGTTTCTCCACATCAATACTACTAACATTTTGGATCAGATAATTCCTTGTTTTGGAGGTGTGCCTTATGTATTGCAGCATGTTTAGTGGAACCCCTGGACTCACTAGGTGCCAGAGTACTTCTCTCCAACTCCAACTGGGACAACCAAAAGAGTCTCCAGACATTATCAAACATCTCCTGCAGGTGAGGTGGGGAGCACAATCGCCCCCAACTGAGAACCACCACTCTAGAGTGTAAGCCTGAGTTTCAATAGGTGTTGTACAGGTTTCATAAATAAGTAAAATACTTACAATGTCTGTGAATACTCCAGGCCTCATAAGATTGATCATCTTTGCAACCTGGAAGACATCCACAGCATTTTCATTCTCTAGTTGTTGGGACAGGGTGGTGAGGGCACACAACATTCCTGCCGAAACTGCTCCATACCTTGGGAAAGGAAAAAAAATTGCTATTTCAGATTTACTAAGGGACTGAAATTACCCTCACATATTTCTAAGTAGACTGTATTGATACTTATTCTAGAACACGAAAATGAATGAAATACTGGACAAGGGAAGATTTAGAGGCTAAAGCTTTAGATAAATTTGACTTTTATGAGTGTAAAATCTCCCAAACTGGTTTTATTAGATTCTTAGCTTGATATTTAATATGAAATGAGGTTAAAAATTATACTTAGAAGAGATATAGAAGATTTGATGTTGGGGACAAGTTAGAAGATATCATAGGGAAAATAATATGAGAACCTTAACTAAAGGCTATTGGACAAATAGAAAGGTGAAAGGCTCAAAAAAATTTTTTTTAAACAATCCCAAACAGCTAAATTGAACTTACAAAATGTCAATAACAATGGAAATATATTCCTCAAATGCAGGCAGGGAATTCTCAAAATGAGTTCCATATTAAGTAATTACTTTTGGCACTGAATTGGAACTTTCTAAATGAGGACACCATCTATAAAATTCTTAAAAAGGTATACTCTTTGCTTCACCAAAAAAAGAAAAAAAAAACCCCTTAGAAAAATAATAGGCGTTTTCATCAGGCCAGGCTGGCAACTCCATTTTTTTATTGGAACCTGTCTTAGATGGCACATAGTTTCCATATTAGTGATATTTAATCCAAAAAGATGGATTAAATAAAGTTGCTCAAGGTGGTGTTTCTGGTACAAATAAGACTAGAACTTAGATGCACTGGGCCTACTGTTATATTAAAAACTATTAAATATATAATTTATGAATTATTCTTACATGAAATTAAAACATTACAGATGTTTACATTGTTGATAAAAGTAAGACCAATGTCTCTCTAACCACCACCCCAACTTTAGAGGTAAAATAGAGATAAAAGCTATTATGATTTTAGATGCAGACTTCCAGATGTAGGTATATCAATACACTTCAGTCCAGCTCATTATTTACTTCATCCACTGCAGGCATACTGGACTTACTCATTTCCCTATGGATGGATGTTTAGGTTGCATGTATCTTGTGCACATTACAAGAGGTGTTGTGTAGAGGAGCCAGGTCACAGGTATGCCTGTTTTTAGTTTAAAGACACTGCTATATGTCTCTCCCAAGTGATTGCGACCTGTTTATACTCGTCCTAGCAAGACAATATTTGTTTTTTTTCATCATTCTAAAGTTAAATGCTTTTGACAATATGGTGGGTGAAAAGCTGTATCTTACTGTTGTTTTAATTTGCATCTCTTAATTATTAAGGAAGTTGAATATCTCTTTGCTTATTGACCATCTGTATTTCCTCTTCTGAAACTGCCTATTAATATACTTTGGCTGTTTTTCTATTAGGTTGATTTTAAATGGATTCATAGAAGTTATTTTATATTATCTATGGCACATGTTGCAAGTATTTTTTCCAATCTCTAGTTTCTTTTCACATTGTGGTTGTTTTTGTTGTACTGAAGCATAATTTAGATATAATCAAGTTTATCAATCACTCCTTTTTGGCTTTTTTGGAATCTTGTTTGAGAATGCTTTCTCTAGCTCAGTATTTTACATTGTTCCAATTTTATTTTTTACATTTAATGAATTTATCTGAATTTTATTCTGGTTTTGATGTAAGGTAGTGTTTGACTTATTTTTCCAATGGGTAACCAATTACTCCAGCATTTTAAATTGAGTAGTCTTACTTTTCTCATTGACTTGCTCTGCCTTTTATCATATACTGAATTCTCATATATGTAGGCCTGTTTCTGAACTCTATTTTTGCCCCTCAATAAGTCTGTCCATATTTTTATTTTCTCAGATTTTTAAAAATTTGTATAGGTTTTAAATAAGCCTTGATATCTGATCAAACAAGATTCCATGCTAGTTTTGGCTATCTCTACATTTATTCACCTTGTTTTTACTGTTTTAGATATAAGTAATTTTTCATCTTTCACTTGTACACTCATTTCCAAATACCCTTCCATCCCATCCCATTTCATATTAATTTTGAAACTGGATCGTTAAGAAAGACAAAACATTTCACTATGATTTCAGTCAGTGGCATGGAATATATTTATCTGAGGAGATTAACATCTTTGAGTTTTTGTCTTAATGAACATGATGTCTTTTCTCCATTTATTCAGGTCTTTCATGGCTTTCAACTAGGTTTTACAGTTTTCTTCAGAGTCTTGGCTAATTTTATTTTAGGTTAATTCCTAGGTACTTTAGAGTTTATTACTAAGAGTGGACTTATGCATTTCCTGTTTTCAATTAATACAAAGTTGATGTCACATGATGAACTTGTATCCACCCATACAGCAGAACTCTAAGTTCAAATAATCTGTGGTTTCTCTCGAAGTTGGCTATATCTTTATCTGCCAATAATGACCAAGTTGGCCTCTTTTCAACTTTTATACTTCTTACGTCTTTTGCTTTTACTGTGATAGCTAGGACCTCAATAGTTTTGTATCCTAGAACTAACTGCAAGGAGGTATCATGTTGTATTCTTTAATGATAAAGCTTCTAAGTTTTTAATACTGTGGAATCTTGGTTCTCGGACTTAATTCATTCTGGAAAACTGTTCGAGAAGTGATTTGTTCAAAAACCAAATCTCCTTTGTTGCCTGAGATGCATGACTGATCATACAGGTATCAGCATGAAAGGGTTATCAGGTAGAGAATTGAGACCCAAAGTTTTGTTAGACAACTGAGACTTTTTTTTCAAGAACAACTTGGTTGAGAACCAAACTGTTCAAAAACCAAGGTGTGATTGTATTAAGTAATATTTTACATGGTGATAATTAGCATTAATCATTTAAAAAAAGATTCTTTATACTTTGTTTGCTGAGAGTATTTTCTTTGGGGGAGAAGGATTATGAATGGGTATTATTTTATGTTTTTTAACATCTAATATTTTAGAAATACCTTTCACAATGCTCTGAGTTCACTGGAGTTTTTTGGTAATGTTTAACCACCTCTACATTCCCAGGATCAATCTTACCTTTTCATGATGTATAATTCTTTTAATATAACACACTGGATTTTATTTGGCAGTATTTAGGTTTTTGTCTTCTTATTCCAAAGAGTAACATTGGTCCATATTTTTCCATTCTGGTGCTAGACATTTTTTTTGTTTTTTGGCTTTTTAATCAAGTTAACATTAAAACTGCTTTCTATGTGTTACTTGTTCAGATGCAGCCTGTCAGAGCTTACTGGGCTTTAATAGTTCGAGAACTCATCCTTTTATTTAGTTCTTAGTGATCACTAATGTGCGGAGTGCTCTTTCTGTGTTGCTAGGCTCTCTTTTAGCTATTTCACATACATCAACTTAATCTTCACAATAGCCTATGGTATAAGTACTATTATTATCCCCATTTTGAGGCTGAAGAAATAAGGCACATTCAGGTGAAGTAACTGGCCAAAGTCTCATAGCTTGTGACTAGAGCCTGTATTTGAGTTGATACATGTAAATGGCTCAGAACAGAGCCTAGCACATCTACCATATGTTCAAAAAGTATCATTTATTATGCTTATTATGATCCAGGGTTAAAAATTTACTAATATGGAATTATAAATAGTTTCAAATATTTATGCCCTTTAAAACATTTCTATTGTTTTAACCTTTTGATGGGTTGGTCAAAACCTTCATTTAGTTTTTTCTATATGATGACTCTAGTAGTGCTTAATTGTCTTTAACTCCATTAAAAACAATTTTGTTAGATTGTACTGTGACAGCGGTCATATCAGTGTACATTAAAAAAAACCAAAAAAAAACTTGGTGAATTTCTGTGCAGCCATTTTAATACTGAAGATGGAAGAAAATACAAAACATTTTGCGCATATCATGCTTTATTATTTCAAGAAAGGTAAAAATGCAACCAAAATGCAAAAAAAGATTTGTGCAGTATATGGAGAAGGCGCTGTGACTTATCAAAGGTGTCAAAAATGGCTTGTGAAGTTTCTTGGTACTACTGACATTTTGGCCAATAGTTCTTTGCTGTGGGGCTGTCTTATGCATTGGGAGATATTTAGCAGCACCTCTGGCCTCTACCCAGTAGAAGCCAATAGTGGGAGATAACTGACATACTCAAAATATCCAAATCAATAAAGTTATTGGTAGAGAATCAATATGGTGGAGGAGTGAGTGGAAGTCATACTACCTCCTCCCAGGACTGACCTGGAATTACAACTAAATTGTGGCCAAATCACCTGGAACAAACAACTGAACACAAGCGAGAGAGGAGCCTTTAACCTTGGGCAGACAGAAGAGTCAGCTTTAGCACAATCTAAATGGTAAGGAGTGCAGTAGAGACTTGAGAAGGCAGGTGGGGTGCCCCCATGAAGCAGCACCAGAAGGATATTGAAACAACCATTTGGATACCCCCGAGAAGAGTGGGCTCTAAACCCTAAGTGGGGATTTCTAGCCCACAGCACCAGAGCCCAAAAAGTACACAGATAACAGCCACCTGCGAAAAGTGGCAGAGTTGCTCTCTGACAGAGACAGGAAGCTGGAGACACAAAGAGCTGTTTAAAGGGCCAACACATAAATTTTTGTTTTCAGCCACTTACCTTGGCAGGGGCAGAGTGGGCTGGAGATGCCTGAGGAGTGACTAGGGAAGGAGGCTTTGGGTAGAGAACTGAGAGAGTACCAATGGGGTCCTGGTGCTGACTCATCCCCCACTCGGTAACTACTATCTTGCTTAGGCAGACCACTCCCCTGAGCGGCAGCAGTGTGAGAGGACACAAGAGCCTGGCCCCCAGGAGGCTTGGCCTAGAGGTGGTGCAAAAGCCCTATTGCTGAGTACAGAGAAGCAGTCACAGATAGTGGATCCATAGCTAAGGAGGACACAGAGTGGTCTAGAGGCACTTGAGGCAAGTCTGGAGACTGGGGCTTAGGGGAGAGAATTGAGGGAACAGCTGACAGGACGCTGGTGCTGACTCCTCTCCATTACGGCAGCAGCATGAGAGGATCTGACAACCCTGCCCCCAGGAGGGATACTGCCCTGTCCTGTGGTGTCTCTAAGCCAGCCTGCTGAGTGCAGTGACTAGATTAACAGCTGATGGAGAGAGCTAGAGACAGTAGATTCCTGGAAACCTTGAACACACTGCCTAAGGTCAGACAGGGTCAACATCTGACATCATCAGAGGCAGATCCAGAAAGAAAAAAAAACAGCAGTCTCTTACCATAGAAGTTCACACCACAAAGCCAGGAATTCAGGACAGATCAATTTAAGAAGCAGAAGCAGAAGAGAAGAGTCTCACAAATAATGGGAAGACAGAGAAATACCTCCCAGTCGAAGGGAAAGGGGGAATCCCCAGAAACAGAACTAAATGAAATACAGGCAAGCAAACTATCAGGTACTGAGCTCAAAGAAACGTTCTAAGGAAGCTCAATGAGCTCAGTGAGCTGAGAGAGAATTACAAAAAACTACAGGGAAACTACGAGGAACTTACTGCAAAACTTCTATCAGCATGAAAAAGGACATAGAAACTGTCAATAAGAGACAAAAGGAAATGAAGGATACAATTTCTGAATTGAAGAACACAGTAGAGGGAATCAAAAACAGGCTAGATGAAGCAGAGGATTTGAATCAGCGAGCTAGAGGATAAAGCAGAAAAAAGCTCCCAGAAAGAGCAAGAAAATCAAGACTCAAAAAGAATGAAGTGGCATTGAGGGAAATGCAGGACAACCTGAAACGTAATAGTATCCATATAATAGGGATACAAGAAGGAGAAGAGGAGGAAGGGATAGAGAACGTGTTTGAAAAAGTCATGATGGAAAACTTCCCTACTTGGAGGAGAGAAAAAGTCACACAAGTCCAGGAAGCACAGAGGGTCCCATTCGAGAGGAACCCAAGGAGGCCCACTCCAAGACACATCATCATTAAAACGGCAAATATCAGACAAACAGAGAATCCTAAAGGCAGCAAGGGAGAAACGGGTAGTAACATATAAGGGAGCCCTGGTGCGGCTAGCAGCTGAGTTCTCAACAGAAACACTACAAGCCAGAAGGGAATGGCAGGAAATATTCCAAGTCATGAAAGGCAAAGGCCTGCAACCAAGACTGCTCCACCCAGCAAGGCTCTCAATTAAATGGAAGGCGAAATAAGGAGTTTCCGAGACAAAAGAAGGCTAAAAGAATACACCTCTGCTAAACCAGCATTGCAAAATATACTAAAAGAGCTGCTTCAAGAAGATGAAGAAAAAGAGTCTATGAATACCCAGTTCCTTTCACAGTCACCAATACTTGATATTACCAATGTTTTCAATACTTATTAATCAGACTGTGAGAATGATATGCTATATTAGTTGTTACTTCATTATTTGTTGAAACTAAACCTGTTTTTGTATATTTCTTGACTATTTCTATTATTTTTAAAAAGCTTTAAATGACTTTTTGGTATTCTTTATCCATTTTTTGATTAAATGTTTGTAGAATTTTTTTCCCCTAAAAAAACAAACTCTTAACCCTTTTTTAGATGTGTTGCAAATACTTCTCCATTCTGTAACTTGTCCTTTAACTTTTTTTATATGTATATTACTATATAGTCTTAAATTATTAATATTGTCAATATTCTACTTTATAGCTTCTGGATTTGAATATTTTACTTCTGGCTGAGAAAATATTATTTTGTATTTTCTCCTAAAACTCTTTATATTCTACATATTGATTTTTAACTCACCTGAGAATTTTTTGTATAATGTGTGAAATAGGGCTCTATATTTGTTTTATTTCAAGTAATAGTGGTCCATGCACCATATTTGTTGAATAAGCCTTATTTTCCCCATGGATTTGAAATATCAGTTTAATCATATATTACATTGTTAGAGAGATATATACAGTTGTTTCTAGAATGCTCATTTTATTTCATTGATCTACTTGATTATTTCTGTGTTGGTGTCATGTTTTAATTGCTGAGACTTTATAATGGATTTTGACATTTAAAAAAAAATGAAATCCATCGGCATTAAAAAAAAAAAGAAAGAAGAAACTCCTACCTTTTGTGACAACATGGATGGAACTAGAAAGTATTATGCTAAATGAAATAAGCCAGTTGGTGAATGACAAATGCTGTATGATCTCACCTATAAGTGGAATCTATTCAACAAAATAAACCACAGGCATGGAAACATGGAGCAGACTGAAAGTGACCAGAGGGGATGAGGAAGGAGGACAATGGTGGAAAGAAGGGGAAGGGACTAGACAAAGAGCATGTATGGATGACCCTTGGACCTGGACAGCAGAGTGGGCATTGACTGTGGGAGTGGGGTGCCTGGTAGGATGGGTGGAGGCGGGCAAAGGGGGAAAAATTGAGACAACTGTAATAGAATAAACATGATTTTAAATAATAGAAAGGAAGAAATAAAACTGTCAGTATTAGACAAATATAAAAAAGTAAAAATAAGCAGCATATACATACTCATCATGAACAATGGTGGGGCCATCCCTTGTTAAGGCCTCTTCCTTGATGACATTGATAAGTTCAAAGGTACTGCTTATGGGGGCATCTGGGTTAGGCCATTTGGGACACTGAAAGTGCCGAACTTCTAGGACATAGTCATCCTACAACCAAGACAACAAGAGTTTATTTCACTCTATACTCTAATGACTAGAACTTGCTCTTCAGGAAGCATCTCTTATAGGTAACTAAAGAATGCCAGGTTAACCAAGGTGGAGCTGGAGAAAGAAAATACTTGGGTGGTCTGCCTGCTGTAAAGAGTGTGCAGCTAATGACAATGGAGTAGCAGAAGACTATGTTGTTAAGGCATTAATTTGAAGTGAAAATTCTTATCTTTAGAAATAAAGAAAAAAAAAGGAAGGCGTTAGATTATTTCAATTTCTAATACAAGCCAGCTTCCCTCTTACCTGCCTCATAGGAAGGCAGTTATTACAGGTCAAAATGCTGTGTAACAAAAAGTCTTAATAGTATCATGTCTGTAACACACTGCAAGGTTTACATTTCTGATGGCAAAGAAAATACTGAGCTCTAGTATATTGCTTGTATAATTAGGTCAACAGACCTATTTGTGTGTGTGCTCAATCAGAGGAACTGCTTATATTTCACCTATGCAGCTGGGAAAGTAAATATTTGAAGGAAGGTAAAAAAGGGAAGTATGCATATTTAAAATTAAGTCATACTCGAATCCCTGGGCCTGCCTGGAGCGTGTTAAGTTACTTCAGTATTACTCAGTACGATCCAGGGTCCAGATACAGCTATGACTCAGGAACGGAGGGTTAGATTACCTGTGTAGCTTCCAGGATAAAGTCATGGATGATAATTTGTTCTTCATTAGAGAGGCACAGTCTGTCTTTGCTGATAAGGGTGACGGTAAAGGCCTCACAGTTCATGGATTCTTCTCGACTTGGCCAGTACACAAACTCATCTTCTGCCTATGGGAACAACAACAACAAAATCCTCTGTAGTGCTGTTAAATATTTGTTTATGAATTTTCTTGCAAAATGGTTTCTTATGTTTGCCTACCTACCTCTCAAGTCATCTTTTAAAATTGTTTCACAGGTTTATGTATTTCCCCACCTAATCATGCTGAGTTCATTGGTTATTGTATTATAAAACATACACAACAGTAACCATTTTCCAGCACTGTTCACCTACGTCATTGTAACAACCAAAATGTACTCATAGGGAATGTATTACTCGCATTTGAGAAGTGCTCCGCAATGTAATTGTCATGAAAAGACAAGATTTTGGTCAATTAATTGTAACCTATTATTCACAATTGCTTAAGCAACTAATCGTTATTTCCTATGGATGATGTTAATAACAGTTCTACAATTTATAGCATTTTGCAAAGGACTTTTGTAACATTATCTGTCTATCTTAATTTTTGCAATATACTCGTGAGGTGAGGGATTTTTATCACCTGCCTTTACAGATGAGGACACCAAGGCTCAGAGAGGTCTGAAGTTGTCTAAAATCACACTACTAATGTTCAGGATAGAACCTTTTGGAAAAAGCTTGTATATAAATAAGCATGTTGGCTGTAAGTACAAGGTGTTCTTAAAGAAAAGTTAATATGTTAATGTTAGGTTTCAAAAGGGGATGACAGAGAAAGTCTTTCAGCCTTGAATCAGGTACACTTTAAAATGTTCATCTATTTTAAGATTAAAAGTAAATTTTCAGGCTTGTTACTTGAATTCTATCCTTAAACTAAGGAGGCCTAAAAAAAGTTAATTGTTGCATAGGTTGGAGACTTTGTGAGAAATACAGTGATTTTTATAATAAGCCTTCTTTCCCCTTTTCCTAATTAGTTCAAATGGCAAACTAAAGTTTGCCTGTAATTTATAAATTTCTATGGCATTTTCTTGAAAATGCTTAGATACTACTAGGGAAGTCAGAAATAATTCTGAATAGTGTTCAAAACAAAGAGGGTTTTGTTTAATCTTACAATGTTGCATTAGAAATGAGCCAACAGTCCAATGAGACTTATCACCCTTTCAAGTTTCAATACAGCTTATTGCCAAGTACATTTTTATTTTTAAAGCTCAGCATAAGGGGAAGCAGATTAGCAACTGGGTTTAAGTGATACAAAGGAAGTCTATAACTGTCATGTGTTTCAATACATTTTGTCCGAGGAAATGGAAATAGAGCCCTTTTAACAGATAATGATAGACAGGGTCACTAAATTTAACAAATATGTACAGACTAAGCACAGGATTTAGGGTTGGATGTGATCTTGAATAAATTAATCTCTCTGAGCCTTAAATTCCATAGCTACAAAATGGAAATAATAAAACTACCTACCTGAAATAACTTTGATGATGATACCATGAATAGTAAATTATTGAATTGGTCTAAAGACTGCCAAAGGGATTTGTGGAAGGCAGGCAGAGGAAAACTTTTTAATGTAGTTAGTAAACTAGGGAATAACTGATCATCTTGAAAGACTGGGAAAAATAAATCTACTTCTTAATTCAGTAGGCACTCTGGTCTCATACATATTTTGCTGACAAATAAGGGGTTTGTCTAGAAGATATCCAGCCATGTAATGTGAAAAATAGAAAGATTTATTAAAAAAGAAACAAGATACAAGAAACATTGTACATAGGCCAATGACACCTCAGTCCCCTTCAAAGTAGGCACGTTGGGACCTCACACAGTTCTCCCAGTCGCCATCAGTTGCCCTGTCATATTCTCCTGAATCTCATTAGTGGCCTGAAATCTCTTTCCTTTCAAAGGTGATTTGAGTTTTGGGAAAAGCCACAAGTTGCAGGGCACCAAATCTGGGCTGTAGGGGGCTGAGTCACCTGGGTGATTTGATGTTTCACCAAAAAACTCTGCACATGATGTGATGCATGAGAGGGCGTGATGTTGTCATGAAGCTGCCAATCACCAGTTGCCCATGGTTGTGGCCTTCTGAATCACCTGAATAGTTTCCATGGGGGAATGTTCAAGCTTAATGCAAAATTTGATTCAGATTTGCTGCTTTACACGCTCAGTCATTTTGAATGCCATGACCACACAATACACATGCTCACTCAACAGCATCTATCACCCTCACTGACTACTCCAGTGGAGCCATCATTGTTCACACATACACATTTCAGTCCATGCCCCTGGCCGCCAGGTTACATTGATACTGTGCAAACTGTTCTCATTATATTAAAATGGCTGGACTTTTTCTGGACAGACCTCGTGTATTTATATAGGTCAGAGATGCCTAGTCATCTCTCACAGTGCTTTCTGAATTAGGAATCAGTGACTTTTGAGATATTCACAGAATTGTGGTCTTGTCAAGTAATAGTAGTAATAAGCAATAAAGCAAACTAGGCATCCAGAGACATTATTTTAAGGAAAACTTCAATAATAAATGAATCTAACTTTTGACCCTGGAGCTGAGAGTGCAGTCAAGTGTAATTCTAGTCCAGCCTCCCTAGGCCTCAGAAACACTGAGGTGACGTGTTCCAGGGCAGTTCCTCTATCCTCACTGTCTGCAGATCATTTATTCACTTATTTGGTCCAGTCTCCCCCTATCTTCCACATACAAATGGGCTATAATGGTAGATGCCTTTGGTGACTGTCCTCTGTTAAGTGGCAATAACAAAATACTAATTCAGCCAACAAATGAACGTTTCAACAACCTTAAATGCCTCCAAAATCCACATGCTAACAGAATAGACCCCTACTGCCAACTAATTTGAAAATTTACACTCCAGTTTTTAGCTTCAGATTCTCAACTTTGTTGCCATTCTAACATGCAGAAGCAGCCTTGGTATTCTGAAGCTGAGCAAAATGCGACACTGAAGAAGTTCCTACTGACTGGGCACACAGTCAAATGCATGTCACCCAGACGAGGGTTCAATCACATGCTGTTCTTTTCGGATTAGAAACTTACTATTCTGACACTCACGGAGGCCGATCTTTACTGTGTCTCTGTTTTTGTTTTGACTTCCTGTGCTTCTATGTCCTTATAGTAACTTCTGAAACCCAAGTAATTCTGGTACTTAGAGAGCTAAGCACAAACATTTAAGCATCTTTTGATAAACTTGCAGACCCTTCAATATAGAGAGCTCAATAGGGAAGGACTAACTGGAGGAGAAAGAGGTAGTCACTTCAAAAAGTCCTTAAAAGTAAGTTGTAACAAAATAGTATTTCCTTAACTCCTTCCCTGTAATAGATCTGACTTATTTATGGCAGAAGGAAAAGTAAATGATATTATTATTTTGATACAATTTTTTTGGGGTGGAAGGCGAAGACACATTTCTATGATATGGGTGGGGCATATACTATCAGAACAATGATTAAAAACATGAGCTCAGGAAACAGGTGACTCAGGTTTAAATCCTGACTCTATCCATGTTTGCCCTTGGGCAAGTTACTTCCCTCAGTTTCCCTACCTATTAAATGAGACGATAATAGTACCTATTGTCATAAAATTGTAAAGGGGAATGAATGAGTTAATGCATGTAGAGTAAGAAGCACAGTTACATCCTCAAATGTTAGCTGCTATTATTATTTATTTTTCAAAAGTGACACATAGCAACTAGGATGTGGGGTCAGGGTCATATGCTCTTGAGGTTAGCAAAAGGGCCTTTTCAAAACCTTCTACCACACTGCCATGCACAGTACAGCTGAGGAGCACTATCATCAGCATTAGAGAACAAGTAACAGAACTGATGGGGGGGGCGGGGGGCGGGGGGCGGAGGGCAGGGGGTAATTGTGAGCCTGCAAAAGGAATCTGTACAGACTTAAAGAGGAGAGGTCTGAATTCCCTTCCTAGCATCTACAGACACTATGGCCCTGTGGCAAGGTATCAAAGTGATTTATGCTTATGGCCTCACCGGCTCATTAATATATAGCAGCTGTGCTTCACTCACCAAGCTCTGGTTGTCTGGCAGCATGACAATGATCTGTGCATTATGATCCCAAATCATTCGCCAGAAATCTTTCGTAGTATGTGGCAGAGGATGCTGGGTTATAATAAATTCATTGCTCCTATAATAGCCCTTCAGTTAGGAAGACAAAAAATCAGTGATTATGGGTGTTTTATTCTAACTTTGCAGTAGTAAAACATATTCATGAAATAAGATAGCATTATTTTGATACTACAATAACTGAAGAAGGCATTCAGTGCATTTGGCCAATTTTTAGGTGCACTTCTGCCAACATAGGTAGACAATTTTTTTCTCTTCACGTACAATTCACTTGTAGTTACCCCTGCTGTTTTTACTCAACAGTAATTTCAACATTTTTTCAAAGACTAGATGGGTGATAGTAACACCAAAATTAATTCCTTATCAAGTGTTTTCCTTAACTGAAGCAGTTTTGTAACCCCCACTGATTAGGTATCTTTTGTTACAGGTTCCAAGATAGGGAAATCTCTACAATTTTGAAAATTCACATTAAGAGATTCTTTGGAAAATGACGTCAGTCACATAGGTGGTATCTGCTCTTTAGCACCTTTAAGTTTCATTGACTTTATTTATAATTAACTGTTGACTCTCACCATGATATAAGAAGCATTAATATAATCTGTTCCTTTCATTCCAGGCAACGGTGCAAGACCCACTCGAGCACGCTCAGCTGTCATTTGGAAAAAACAAAAGAGCACATTTGCCTGTTACACACAGAACCAACAGTGCTTTCTGAGATGTACTTGGTAAGTCATATATCCTCCTGGCTCCCCTTTCTTTTTAAGATTTACCTATATTTTTAACCAAGCTAAAGTGTTACCAGCTCAGGCAGAATGTAAAATGAAATTATGCTACACACTCCCAGGACATAGGCATTGTAGGAGTAAAATTTTACTGTGGGAGAGGTTTTCACAGCACATCACTAATACTCTGTGTGGAGATGACAGAGGGTTTCAGATAAATTTTACTATGGTTTGATACTCCTACACTTGTACCACTATATTTTAATCTGCTCTTTTGCCATCCCCTTATCCATATCTTTCCTCCCCATGAAGGGCTTAAAACACAGTGGCCTTTTCCAGTGGAGGTAATCTCTCCTGTGATCACCCACGCCTGTGTCCACAGCATGCGCAGTATCCTCTACTGTGTCCTGAGTTATTTATACAAAGGGCACCACCTATCAACAGTGCTTTGATCTCAATAGCGAGAATACTTGAATGATATAGTTACCAGTGGAGAGATGAATCTGGGAATCTATGTTTTAAAGGAGTATTGATGCCACAGTGATAACGGATAACAATTTTTCTTTTCATTAGTTAAGATATGGTAGAGGCCCCTAATTATTGAATTTTCAGGTGAACGGAAACTAGATTTCATGTCCCACAGATGTGGTAAATGCTGGCACTGACCCAGCGTTGCTGTCCTCGGCATAACCTCTCCCCTGTCTCTTTACATGGTAACATAATATCCAGTGAAAAAGATGCTAACACACTTAACCAAGGCAAACTGATTTTGAATCTTACATGGCACGACTGAAGAGTTTCTGTTCTTTTCTTTGTTACACTCTTTCTGAGCACTAAAGCATTCCACATATTTTGCATTACATTGTGTGACCAGCTGAAAGAAAAACAACATTGCAGTCTTCATTCAAAGGCAGAATTGTGGACATGCTAACTAATCTTACTGTGATAATCATTTAGCAATATATACATACATCAAATCATTACCTTGTACACCTTGAACTTAGACAATTACACATATATATCAGTAAAGCTAGAAAAAATAAAACAGCCAAAAAGGAATAATTGATGACATCTGCTTGATGATCTGGGATAAAACACAAATAATCAGATTACTGAGGAATAAAATCAGTTTTATGCCCCTGAGAACATTTTTTGTGTTTCATTAGTGGTACTTCTCTCAATTATCTTAGTTGTTCGTATGCGTGTGCTTTTTCCCCTCTTCACTTTGACAGGCTCCCATTTATTTATAAATGAGCAGTCAGAGGAGGACCAAGGGCTCGGACTTTCCTCTGGCAGCTTCCTCTGCGTAAGCAAAGGGAAAAATAAGAACGCTTTCATATAAAGTGAATGTCATCACAGGGAACTCTGCTATTTTTGATGTGAGGCTCCTCTTAAATACAAGCAAAATCAAGGGACAGGAAGCAGGTGGTTAGCATCCAGAGGCAAACTCAGGCTGCAGTCAGGGAAAAAACCCGAGCGTGGGTCCTGGCTACACTGCTATGGGCAGCAGGAGCCGGGGCAAGCCACTTACCATCTCCAACCTTGCCTTTTTTCTTTATAAATGTGGCAGCATGTCTATCCTACAGGATGCTCGGGAGGTGAAATACAGGGTGGGGAAAAACTAGGTTTACAGTTGTGAGTGTGTGAAACACAGAGTTTATTCTTGTACTATTAGTTATTAATTTTTGTATGACTTTCCATCTGAACAACTGTAGACCGACTTTTGCCCCACCCTGTATTTACAAACATCCTAGAACTGAGTATCACTCAGTAGGCCTTGGATAAATGTTACTTATTTATGTTTGCATTACTGTTAAAAGGTATTAAACACAGCAACATTTTTAAGTTCTGAGTAAGTGGGAAGCCTCTCAGGTGTATGCTTCTCTTATTTCTACAATCAGGCATTAGGCTTCTTTCTGATCAGTACTATGTAAGTAATACATATTTACTGAATTAATCTAGATTTTTCCATTGATGTCATTGCTTTTGTGAATTTTTTTCTTTTAATTCCTCAGGCACAAGAGCTACCCTAGGAAAAACTGCCTCATGGTAGTAAGTGCTAATCCTATTTCTTAAGAGAGTTGACTAAGATCTCAGTAAATTTCTGTTGAAATGACATTGTTCTAAGGCTGTTATAAATAATTAGCCCAGTAGTTTGGCTATTCCTCCTATTTATATGAATAGGTTGAACCACCTTGTCAGTCCTACATATATGTATACATTTTGGCCCATCGTAACAGAGGACATGGGAACTGTCTCCTCCCAATGCTTTAGTACTAATGTCAAAGACGCTGGATGCAGTTTTCAAGTTTCTGATTCTTGTTTTTTTCCTTCTACTTAAGTTCTAAAGTGTTTAGTGTCTGTGAAAGGACCAATTACCTGGTTCCCAATGGAATGAACTGATTTCTTTGATGAATGTTTTAGAAAGTATGTGTAAAATATTATAGAAATGGAACAGGCAGCATTTAAGAAACGATGGTTCATATCGTTTACTCATATGAGGAATCTAATGAACAAACTGAACTAACAAGCAAAACAGAGACAGACTTATAGATGGAGAACAGATGACAGCTAGTGGAGGCGGAGGTAGGTTAGGGGGTAGAAGAATTGAGCAAAAAGGAAAAAGGACTCATGGACTTGGACAACATGTGGTGATTGCTGGAGGGAAAAAGTATAAATGGACTAAATGGTAATAGAAAAAATATAATAAAGATTACTTAAAAAAAGAAATATTGGTACTTAATATTTTTTAAGAGCTCATTTTAAACATTTAAAATGAGACACTATGCCCACATTATGAATTATGTCAAATGGTATTTAGAATAGTTTGGACATTGTGAAGGGAGAGCTAGAAATATGAAATTGTTATGCTCAAATGCAGTAAAATTAATCTTTTTCACTTCATCTGACTTTGCTTGGCTGTCTGGTTTCTTCAGGTGAGATTCAAATGAAGGATTCAAAGTTTTACTATGAAAACTAAAACTATATAGATTCATCTAATTCTTTCCACCCTAATACAAAATGAGAAATTATGCAAAGACCAGTGTGCAAAAACATAGAATTTTAGAAGACTGAGACTCTACGAAATAGGAAAGCACTTAGTGATTAGACAATATTTGACAGTTATAATAAATCCTTTGAGATAATTCAGCTTTTCTGATCTTAATTACTTTAAAGTCCCTAGAGTCTCTTTTTTCACCATTTCTTTAAATCATCTCCATATAAACCTTAACTACCTTTTAACTTCTTCATGCCCCTATGAAAGAAAAAAAACAATCATTTAAGGAAAAGTTAACTTTTCTCAAGTACTCTTTAGTAGATCTTCTCTAGTTTCTAAAATATCTACTAATATAGTCTTTATTTTTTAGGGCAATGTGTCAACAATAACCATTCTTAATAAGGATAAGATAGATTAGTTCAGAAAAAATGCAGATGGTATTCTTTGGACTGTAAGGACTGGCTCAAAACATTATGTCATTGCAGTCAAGGGCTGATGTGTTTGTTCAGATAAAGCTCTAAATTGTTCAGGAGAAAATACAGCACCACACTACCTACTTAGATACCAACGATGCACACAGAAGTCGAACTTTGTATTTCTTAGCATTATGTTTGAGGAGTATAAATAGCAATCCATTTCAGTCTGTAAGTTCATGCAAAAGAGACATAACCCTAAACTCAAGGCATTTCTTTACTTCCTTGCTTTTTTACCAAAGAAATGTATGTGAAGCACTACCTTGAATTGTTTTTCCAGTCGTGTTTTTCCTCCTACTCCTGGTATAAGGATGCTATTTACGTAGCTATGCAGTTGATTTGAAGATACTTCAGTCTCTTTTCCAAGAATGGCTTCCAACAAGGCATCGTGGATGAAAATGTACTGCTCCTAAAAGGTACAGTATATGGTAGTCGCCTCCATCCCATCCATAAAATCTACTTTTGATGAGCTCTTCCCCTAACAGGCACCTCCCAGTGAATTCCTTCAAGCATGTATAGTTATGCGGTTTGCCCCAATACTTACTTTGTAACTTATTTTAAGGTAGAGACTGTGTTGAGTGAAGTTCTATGTTCTATACCATGCCCCAAACAGTAGGTTCAATGCAGCACACAATGGATAAATATATGTTCATTGCAGAGCTTTAGAACCATTCTCTCATATGCTATATATTTTTTTCATTCCCTAGAGTGTTGAACACAGCCCTAGATCCAACTGTATTGGCTATGTAAGTGCTGGTGTAGTTGTTCAGAAATCCAAATTGAAGATTCAAACACAAATGAAAAACTGTGAGCTGTAAAGAGTACCACGGTCAGGATGCCTTCTAATAAAAACCTGTAAATTCTTTCAAGCCCTATCTGTCTCTTCAATCTCATTCAAGTTCCTGTTAAAGAATGTGCCAGTATCTCAGGACACTGGCGGCCACTCCTTACCTCAGTCTGGACGAGGTAGTTACGCTGTGTCCTGATATGCTTCAGGAAACCCAGGACATTAACTGTGCTTTTGTCTTTTATCTGTTGCAGCATGCTGTCTATTACAATGTAGGTGCCTGTCCTGCCCACACCGGCGCTGGAAGAAATGGGGACACTCAACTAGTGCCTATTGCTTTATCACGTCATGAACTGCAGATTAGAAAAATTACCATCTCGATGGCTAGTAAGTGCAGAAATAACCCTTCTGTTTAGATAGATTATTCATCCTGGATAGTATCCAAAAACTTAATATATTAAGACATTTCCAATTCCATGAGTCTTCATGGGAAGCAAAGACTGCCTTTACACCATAGGAGCTGCAGACAACGATGCATATGAGCTCTCCCGGCCTCCTGCGGCGGCAGCCATCTCCCCACCAGAGCCATGTCCACGGAGGCGCCACGGAGGGGGTTCTCCTTGCTGCTTAGGCATGTGCCTGGTTCTCTGACTCTCCTGGTGGTTCGGGGAGTGCCTGTTAGCCGTTCAATAAACCCCCTTTTGCCCAACTCCTCCAACCTGCTCAGCGTGAGAAAGTTCCTATTTAAAGGGGTGCTTTCCTTTAATAATCCAGATACAGAATAAGAATATTACATCTAGACAATTAGGCCTCTTATTCAAGTTTTCAATGGTTATGAAACAAAAATAGGAAGATCTCAGTTTTGTCGTACTGAGTAGCAAGCTTCTTTTGGTAAAATTCTCCCCAATAGGTCCCTGTTTCATACAGGTTTGCTGATATGCAAGCCCTTTTGATAGACATTTATCTCTGTTTTAGTGATTCCTACCTGGGTTAGCAAACATGTACAGTTCTCATGGGCCTTTAAACAGAAGATGGGTTTTAATTTCTGCAAAGGATCTTGCAGAGCATTAGAACAGCCCAAAGAAGTGCTTAGAAAATGCTGTGCACAACATCCATTTGAATACCAGAATGAAAATAAAAAGTCCAGAATAAAATTTCAAACAAAATTCAATAAAAGCGTTTTCTAAATAACCAACTAAGGTTGTCTGAGGTAGTTAAAGAAAGAAAATGGATTTTACAGAAGGCTTTCCCAGTGCTTTTGAATAGTTTATATAGCACGTATAAACTAAAATTTTGAAAATAAAAGCCTTTTATACATACTGTAATTAATGTTATTTCAAGGAACTCACAAGAAAAGCCATATACAAAACCTTAAAATCTCTAGCATGGAAAGTTCTAAACTTGTGTTTAAGGTCAGATTTTTACATATTATGAGCAGCCTGCAATTACCCTATGCACAATGGAGACTTTATTATTAATAACAGAATAATATTATAAAAACTAGAAATTCATCCTTTAAGAGTAGATTTTTGTTTTAATCTCAGAAGCAGAAGATTTAATTCATGGGAACAGAGTTACTTTACATAACTCTAACAGGTCTTATTGGTCCCAGTTTTCAATGGAAGACTCAAGTTTCTAAATCAAACAAAACAGCAGCAGGGTCCAGATTCACAAGGCCCATGCCCACTGCTCTGCCCACTTCAGATGCAGAACCCAGGCAGGAGAAAGGGAAAGACGTCAGCCCCACCTGCAGTGCACCAACACAGGGCCCATTTCTGGAGTCCGGGCTGCTGAGGATCTCCTCACGAAGGTCAGGACTGGCAGGGCATACTCGGGAACTCCCATGTCAGGCCACTGTGTGTAGTGATACTGGATCACTACCCTTTCATTCTGACGACCCTTGGGATTTCCCTTCTGACCCTTTGAGAATGGCGAGAAAAGACATTTTTCAGCTGAGTGAGGGCATTCTGGAGATAATGTAAGCATGTTAGGAAACAGCACCTCTGATCTCATTCATCCTAATGTTCCCGGGCCAGGTTAGTCCCTCTGTTCCTTTTTGTTGCCATCTCATGCCATAAATGGAGAAACTGTCCTCCCTGGATGAGAAGTATTAGACATCTCTTAAAGTTACACCAAGAATGAATGTTTAAAATCAGGTTTTTTTGGATTTGGAACCTTACAGAGCTTTGCAATCTGCCCACAAGGCCTCTATTTCCTGACTTTTTGCAACAGAAGGCCTGAGTGCTCTGCTCTCATCTGACTGTGGGCCATGACTCCCACTCCTTCTCCACTGTCCGGACGGGGCCTTCAGGAGCCCAAGTGCTCGCTGCCGCTGTGTGCACTTCAGGAAGTGTGGGGAAACCCTAAGTGACTAATGATTCTGTGCCTCTAGAGTCAAAGGCAAAAATAAATTTATCACTTTTATAAATGAATCTTTCAGAGTAGTTTTCCTTTAAGTGGCTAAACTTTTTACATCTTTAACTACTTGGAATGAAAAATTCCTCCAAACAGATCACTTGCTATGATACGTCTTGTCTTATTACCAATACCTCTAAAATTAAAAAAAAATTTTTTTTGATGACTCAGCGTCATTAATAAATCAACACTGAAGCTTGTAGAGTGTTCAACCCTGTGTTACAAAGACCCTGGATGGCTTTGATTTCTTAATTCTTCTGTTAACTCTCATTTTCCTGTTTCTTTCTCATTTTCAGTTATCACTTTATCTTCTTATCAGTGTGCAAAACATCTGAAGTTTCCACGTGACTTCTTCCTTTGACTTAAGCTGCTTCTAAAATAAGAGTAAGTGGGCCATGTTTAAATACCTGAAGGGTTTTCATTTTCATGAGTAATGGGCTTTGTAAGTATAAACTGATTATTGGTTATCTTGAGCCAGCTAATGGTTCTATTATAGATAACACAGATAATACAGTGCTACTGATTTTTAAATACTCCCTATATTCTTGGGAAAAACTATACAAAGAAAGTTTCTGCCATTCTTGGGAAAAACTATACATAGAAAGGACTGTTAGCCTTGGGCCACAGATGGGCTTCAGAGCCACTGAAACTGTCTATAGTCATTTGATAAATGAATTCTTCTGGAGCAAGGGGGCTACAGTTTCATCACATTCTCAAAGATGTCCAAGACTCAAAAAATAAAAATTAAGTCTAAGTGCTACAAACAGCTGCTATTTCTAAGTCTCTGTAGAGTAACTTAGACATTTCTAAGTTACATTTTCTTGATGAGCGTCTGTCTAGAGTTCATAGTACTGCTGTACTGATCTATGAGTCTTGATGGGACAGTGGCGTTTGAACAAGAGGAACTGAGGTAACTTGAAAGGAGCATTTCCATAAGGTATGATTCTTAGGATGTTCACAGTTCTACAGAAAAGGGTTCTATTTTCAAGTACCGTTGGGAAACACTAGGCAAAACAAAGTTAAATAGGTTTCTTATCTGTAGCACCCTAATCACTTGTGTTCGCTGTACACTTCTACAGGGGGGAGATATATATATGATGTAGCATTAGTTTCCCATACTCATTAGGTAGCAGGATCTGATTTTTTGCAAGTATTTTACAGGCTTAGTATTCCCTGAAACATGCTTTGGGAAACAGTACTTTAAAGCTGTCAGAAAATTGGAATTAAAAAGCTAACTCAACAAACAGATGCTGCCGTATCTGCTAGATACCAAAACCTAAGACCTTAAAAATGAAGACTTCTTCATAAAGAGATTAAAGAACTCAATCAGGCCAGTTAAATTCTATTACGTGCTTTGCCAATATCTTTCACACAATGCATTGATGTCAATCAAAAGTGTTGTGAAAAAATGTTTTAAAATGCTTTTTAAAAACTGAGTTCGTTCTGAGAATTGGCCTTTGTTGCACAGTCATTTTCATACACGTTTAAAAAGAGACGCCTGGCATCCCATCCGATTCCTCCAATACCTTTTTCACTTTCGTATTTCTGACTGAAAAACGACGAACAGTGTAGCAGGCGTGTACTTTTGTGCTCTTCAGTGTGACAATAATGTTTCCATACTCCTCACTATTCTCTGTTGGCCAATACTGATCACATTTTCGCTGCAAAAAGAAAAAAGTTGTAAATTGCAACTGCAATTGTTGCTCTAATTCCACTGGTGACAATGTAACTTCTAATGACAGTGTTAAAATGCAGGTAATAGCACCATGTTGTCGACAGAAAAAGGAACTTGTGGGCTGAATTGCTTATAGGAAGGCATGACCTCTGAAGAGGTTACTCTTGGAAAAAGTTTGGCCAAGATCATTTCAGAAATGAGCCTAGTATACATGATCATCTTTCAACATGTGCTATACTATCAAGTGGGCTTAAGAAAGAAATCTGTATGTTGGACCTGTAAGACGTGTGGGTAGGGTATGTTTGTTACAAAGGGAGCTTAAGTGAGGCTGGACTGCATTCACAGCTTGGGTCTCCAAAGGCAAAATAGAGACTTCAACAGTCAAAGTGAAGCTACAGTGATTCAGAGTAATAAACCTGGAACTTAGCCCATGCTGCAGCCTAAATTAGCACCATCTATTATAAGTTTAGTATCTCATAAACTTTAAATTATTAATTCTCTTCTTTAAAAAAGGTTCTTTTAATCATAGTCAAGGTGTTTAAACAGTCTTTACTTCCCCCAAGCAGAACAGTTAATACTGTCCTGACTATACTATGTTTTTTCCCACTTCCCTGCCATTTGTTGTTCTTCATCTCCTCTACATGTGGAAGCCCTTCCTGCTCTTTTTGGCCTCTTAACTCTCCTCCTAACTCATCATCCAAGTCTCACTGCAAATATTGGTTTCTTTATAAAATACCTGTACCAGAAGACACAGTGCCCCACTTTGCAGCATCCCCCGGACCCTATTCATCCCCGTATCACAATGGGTCCACTCCTGGGAGTGCACAGCTCTCACTCCCCCCAGACTACAGGCAAGGAAGGGGCCGAGAGGACACTCTGCATCTCTGTAACTCTTTCCACAGTTGGTTGAGTTCCTACGCTAGAGCACGTACTCCGCAAATATTTTTTTGAACAAGGATACACGATTAAGATAGTAGCCAGAAGGTTCTTACTCTTCCTTTTTCCACAAGGTTTGTGATCATGACAATGATTCCAGTGTTTTGTTCCCAAATCATCCTCCAGAAATCTTCAAATGTAGACTTTAAAGGTCCCTGGGTGGCGATGTAGGCTTTTGCTTTATTGTAACCCTTCAAAGATGACACAGCAGAAAGTAAGATGAAAGCAGTATCCCAGACTAGTTAATAATTCAAGTGCCATCCATACTAAATAGGCTGTGTTTTCAATGAAAGCTCCATGCAGCATTAACACGCATTCAAAAGTCTCTGTAGCACTCCTCATGATCAGAAATAGGTTTATAAAAACATTTTGACTTACGTCGACATAGTTTGCATTAATGTAGTCGCTGTGCTTAGAGTCTTTTCCTGGTAAAGGTCTTAACTTCACCCTACTGTGATCATCTATAGAGGATAAGAAAACAAAAAAAGTAAAACCAAACGGTATAATTAAAAAACTAGCAGCGTTCTGAAGCACAAGACAAGGCAAACAGGTTATGTGGTATCTCTCAGACACTCTTGAGAAATCTTTTGGCAGAAGAACAACTAAAAATCAAAAGATGTAGCATTTGAAATCATCTCGAAAACAGGGATGCTTCTACCTCATGCTCTGACCTGTGAGTGCCCCCAAAATGAAAATTACGGCTTTTATTAGTTCATGTAAAACAACTGCAAGTTGCAGACCCCCCAAATTTCCTTGTCTTTACTTTAAAACCAATTGCCAAGGTCTTTGATTATCCATGCCCCCCCTTATCCTCTTCCCATTAGTACAAATATAAAAAAGTGATTTGTTATATCAAGTCCACAATATCTATTTTCAGGAGAGTTCACTGCTAAATTCAGTCTGACTCCCTGCCATGCCAACAGAACCCGCATAGTTGAGGGAGTTAGAGCTGCTTGTAAGAGTAATGTCACTGCAGGAATATGAAATCAGTGACCAAATTTTAGGATCCACTTAACTTCAGCTTATGAACAAAAGGGGTGATGCTATGTGTCTCCAGTTGTTCCACAGAATGAGCTTGTATTTTTAGGGTAACAAATTAAACGCCAAAACCCCAAACTTATGAAAATAAAACAAAGCTGAGGTGGCAATTTTATTTTCCTTAGCTAGAAATGGGAAAAAGCCAATTCACATTTCTGTTTATAGTCATGATTGTCAAAGGCTAATTCAAAAAGAAGTCTAATGCATGGATTAGCCCAGACATGACTGATGGACTTACCAAGCACCTCTGGAAAGCCCTCTACATTCTGGGGACTGTGACTTGCTTCTGCTGTTCTGACAAACTCTCAGATCAGAGCTGATATGAGCAGGGCTGCCTGATATAAATAGGCCCTATATAAAAAATTTCAACTAAGGTACCTGCATCCAAACAGTCCTGACTTATTAGCATTATACTGTAAATTGTTATTTCTCAGGCACAAATAAAAACATACTCTTCAAGTTGCAATTTCATATTTAATAAGGTAACAGAATGGCTAAATAGATTGCTATAGGAGTTGGTGTGGTGGTATCCACTTACACCTTGAAAGCTGTGATGCTCTGTGAGAGAAGACTTTCTTTGCCTACATTGTTTTTCTGGCACATTCATGGACAAATTTTACTTGCTTCATGACATTTCCATGCTACTCTTTGCTTTATAAAGGCATTAGAGTAGGAGTAGACTTAGGTGACAAGTGATTCGTCCAGGATCTGACTAAGTGGCCAAGAGAACACCAAAACTCAACTCCCTGAACTTATGAAAATTGAACCACATGTTATTTGAATTTGTGACAGTAAAACGACAATGAACTTGTGAAAGTATATCTGCATCTAACTGGAGATGGTGGTTTTCCAGCCAAACACTATGACCTTTGGTCACATCACAAAGCAGTTGCTTTGATTTCCTGCCTCTTCTTTGCCACAAATGTTTAGCCAAGGCAGTGAGGTCACTAGAAATAAAGATTGCTATGGTGGAGAGAATGGTATGTGTAGATATATGCAAGACACGTATATGTATATATCCCTGCCTGAGTTATATGGTTTGAAATGAGCTAAATAGACAAATAATTGCTCAGTCTCAGCAAAGTGAGCCTTGACTGGCTGGCCAACAAACATAGTCAGAGTCAATTTGTTTAGGACTTGGAGAGAAAAGAAAAATTTCACTCTTGTCCCTTGCTCTCTCTCTTTTTTTTTTTTACCTCCTCATTCTCTCAGATAACTGAAGCAAACACTCTTTTTCAAAAATGACCTGTGGTTCTTTTAAAACTATCTACAGGGAAAAAAAAAAACACATCCTATATTCATAGATGACACAATCTTGTATTTGGAAGTCTTAAGAAATCCACAAAAAAATAACTGTTAGAACTAATAAATGAGTTCAGCCAAGGTTGTAAGACACAAAATCAATATACAAAAATCTACTGTATTTCTATACATTCAATGAACAATCTGAACATAAAATTAAACAGACAATTCCATTTACAATTGCATTAAAAAGAATAAAATACTTAGCAATGTTAAACAAAAGTGCAACACTTGTATAATGCAGGCTATAAAACACTGTTGAAAGAAAAGATGACTTAAGTAAATGGAAAGGCATCCAATCTTCATGAACTGAGAGACTTAATATTATTAAAATAGTAATGCTTCCCAAATTAAAATTGATCTACAGATTTGATGCAATTCATACCAAAATCCAAGATACATTTTTTTACAGTAATGAACAAGTTGATCATATGGAAACACAAGGGACCCGGATTAGCCACAAAAAAAAAAAAAAAAAAAAAAATTGAGAAAGAAGAACAAAGTTGGTTGGAGGACTCACAGTTCCAATTTCAAAGATTATTACAAAGCTGTAGTCAATAATCAACACAGTGTAGTACTGACATAAGGATAGGCATTAATGGAATAGAACTGAGAGTCCAGAAATAAACCCTATACCTTAATCCATTAATTTTCATTAAGGGTCTTAAGACAATTCAATGAGGAAAAGAAGAGCTGCTTTTTAACAAACAGCACTGGGAGCCAACTGGATATCAATATGCAAAGAATAAAGATGACCCCTACCTCCCATCATATACAAATATTAATTCAAGGTTGATCAAAGACCTAAATGTAAAAGCTAAAACCATAAAAAAAAGTCTTTGACAAAAACATAGGCGCAAATATTCATGATCTTGGATTAGGCAACGGTTTCTTAGATATGAAATGGAAAGCACAGGCAACAAAATAAAAAATAGATACACTGGATTTCACCAAAATTAAAAAAAATAAATGCATTAAAAGAGGACACCATCAAGTAAGTGAAAAGGCAATGTACAGAATGAGGGAAAATATTTGCAAATTACTTGACCAGGGGTTTGCATCCAGAATGCATGAATAGCTCTTAACTAGGACAAAAAGTACATGTAATCCACTTAAAAAATAGGCAAAGAATGTGAAGAGATATTTCTCCAAAGAAGATATACAAATGGCCAATAAGTACACAAAAAGATGTTCATCATCACTAATCACTCGGGAAGTGGAACTCAAAACCACAGTGGGATACTACTTCACATCTATTAGAATGGCTCGTCTCAAAAGAAAAAGTAACAAGTGCTGACAAGGATGTGGAAACACCGGAATCCCAATATATTGGTGGGAAGGTAAAATGGTGCAGCCACTCTGGAAACCATTTTGGGAATTCTTTGAAATATTAAACAAAAACTTACCATATAAGCTAGCTATTGCATTCCTAGGTATAATCCCAGGAGAATTAAAAATATATGTCTCTGCACAAAACCATATATACAAATGTTCATAGCAGCATTATTCATGATAATAAAAAAAATTAAATAACTCAAATGTCCACAAATGATAAATGAGTAAACAAAATGTGGTATATCCATACTATAGGGCATTATTCAGCTGTAAGAAGGAATTAAATATTGATATAAGCTACAACATGGATAAATCTTGCAAACAGCCTGCTAAGTAGAAGAAGCCCAATACAAAAGGCCACATATTGTATGATTTCATTTATATAAAATGTCAAAAAAGGCAAATCTATAGAGACAAAGCAGATAAGTGGTTTCTAGGGAGTTTAGGGGGAAAGGGATGAATTGAGTGACTGAGTAGAGAGGTTTCTTGTTGGGGGTGCTAAGAATGCTTTATATCTAGATAGTGCTGATGGTTGTACAACTCTGTGACTATACTAAAAACACTGACATTTAACTTTAAATGGGTGAATTTATATGGTATGCAAATTATATCTCACTAAAGTATTATTAAAGACTACCTACAGTAGTGTTAACATTTAAGTGGTCTAATTTAAATGCACTATTACATAAAATTCTATGTATGTTAACCATATGTGCCTCCGCCCTTAATATCAAAGCATATATTATCTGCCAGTGACCCAATTACCAATGGTTATGAAAAGTGGCATTCTAACCTTAGAAGTGAACTGTGCTCCTAGGGTATTCCTTGAGTCTCTATAAGAATAACACTTATTTGCTTGAGTGAGGCATCTCCGGAGTACTCTTTTTTAAAAAAGTAATACCTTTAGACATCCCTATTTTTTTAATTTTTTTATTTATTGATTTCAGAGAGAGAGAGAGGAAGTGGGGGGCAGAAGAAACATTGGTCTGTTGTTCTACCCCTTTATGCATTCATTGGTTGATACTTGTATGTGTCCTGACCAGTGATAGGACCCACAACCTTGGTGTATTAAGATGATGCTCGACCCAACTGGGTTACCTGGTTAGGGCTCCAGAATACTTCTGCCCTGGAAATATATTGGATAGGACTAAGCACGTGGGCCGTAGGACTGGAGGCTCACCACTTAAGGTATAGACCAATTATATAGTCTTAGAAAGAAGGATGGCTTTGAAATTCAGCTTACTTAATTCGATTCTCAGGACATCTATTTTTTTTTTTAAAGATTTTATTTATTTACTTTTAGAGAGAGGAGGATGGAAGGAGATAGAGAGGGAGAGAAATATTGTTGTGTGAAATCAGTTGCTTCTCATGCGCCTTCAACTGGGGACCTGGTCCACAACCCAGCCATGTGCTCTGACTGGGAACTGAACCAGCGACCTTTCAGTTCATAAGCCAGTGCTCAATCCACTGAGCCACACCAGCTAGGGTTCGGGACATCTATTTGTATTAAAAGACTTGGCTCTTATTGGTTAAAAACCATGTCAAGATAGCTACGTGCTGTTAAAATTTTGCTTCGCAGGATTGCATATGGTATCACATCATGTGAAAACAGTGAAACTCAGAACACTTTCTTTCAATCATCTTATTATTAAGCTTAATGAAAGAGGTCCAAGAGCTTAATGAAAGAGTAAGGAAGCCAGAAAATGTCCCCATTTCTTCCTACATGTTGTTGAAGAAGATGGGCTAATGAGAGGATAACTTGCACGTGTAGTTCTTTCTTGGCATCCTGATTGTGATTGCATGCCTTTCAGCTTATACCTAGCATGAAGATTTAATTTCCTTGTGGCTGAAGATGAAGTTTATTACTCACATGCTAAAATGTTGATGTATCTGTTTTTGTGCTTGTTATCTGGATGATTGGAATGCTCTGCAGTGATGTTCATATCAGCCGTACAGCGTTGGACTTCCTAGTGAAGAAAACAGGATTTCAGAGATTTTAGATGCACTTGAGACAGTGAACACAGCAAGGCCATAGAAAGAAGCTATTCACACCCAAAAGCACAAGGTATTCACTCACTCCCTAGCCACTGCCACTGTTACCTCCCCAAACTCAACCTCAGGAATAATTACTACTGACATATTCATAACAAACATAGGAAGGATGTGAACAAGATAAAATGATTTCATTCTTCACTAATTCATCAATCCTCTACTTTATTACAGATTTTGGTCTAGGCATGGGGACTTCAAGAGTATCTCTTTTTAAATGTCACGGTCTAACGGGTGAGAAAAACAGGCAAAAAAAATAATGGCAATCAAATGTGATTAACATCAAAGAGGCCTGAAGAAACTATGATCGGAGCATAGAGCAAGGCTTCAGACAGGAGATCATTCACAGGACTGCTGAAGGGTGAGCAAGAATTTTCCAGGCAGACGTCTGATCTCCACCATGATTTGCAATACGCTCATTGGTTAAATAGCCTCATTTTATACTATCAGATGGCAAATTGACTATAAAGACTCAGTCCTGAAATGACACTAACATATGGCCCAATCAACTGTCGTATCTGGCTTAAATACATGTCTCTGATGAATTATTTGTGAACTCAAATTTTATTTAAATTATTCTTTTTTAGAAAAACAGCAGAAGAAGCAATTCTCATTGGCTACCTTTGCCATGGATATAAACATCATCCATTAGCTTAAAATAAGGTTGCTGAAAAGTCAAGTTTTTCTACACTGTATGCTTCAAACCCAGGAAAGTACTGGAGCTAACTAATAAGGGAAGTCATTAGCAGTGCACAGCTGCTACAAAGAGCAGGAGCAAAGTGACACAAAATTATCAGGAGAAAAGTTTTACACATAGCAGATGTAACAGAGTTTAGGAGCATGCAGACTTTTTTGTCACAAAGGAGTTGCTTAGCAATTAGGGATGTTTCCACAGCATTTACATCAGGCATAATGAACACAAGGAACTGGCTGTCTTTTATATTCACAGACTACTTCCCAGTGAGGAGTCCTCTCTCCTCTCCAAGGAGGAACTCACTTTAATCAGAGAATTTCAGGTATAAAAACAAAGGGATGCCATCTAGTCAAAGAAACCATATTCAAGGATTCCTGATTCTTGGACGCTGAAGACTGAATTTTTCATAGTTGTAGGCCTTCCCAGTTGTCCGTTAAAGAAAAGAAAAGAAAAAAGAAAAGAAAAGAAAAGAAAAGAAAAGAAAAAAGAAGAAAACAAAAAAAGCCCCACAGGCATTAATTCAAAATACCTCTCCAGGGAAAGTGTGTTTCATGACAATTCTTACCTTTTTTTTTTAACTCTTAATAAATGTGATAAACTTTGATATTTTCTATTTTAATGGTTTATAACCTATGTTTTGGCAAATGCTAGCTTAAAGGGGCCTAAGGCTGCCTTTGGCTCTTTCCCCTAAAACGAGATAAAAGTGGTGGGCACAGAGCACTGAGGTGAGATCTTAACGCTGACAAGAACATAAGCGATGCTAGCCACATGTAGAGTGTTTGGGGAACTGGCCTTTCAGAATTGCCCTGAAAGCCCAAGGTATATGTTTTTGAATAGTGTCAGGGCAGAAGACCTTTGAAAATGGAAGACACTAATTCAATCTGTACACAAATCCTTGAAATAAGTTGACATCCCCTGTTTCTGGATTTTGAAGGTCAGGACTTTGGCATGTACCTCTTCAGGGCTGAGTTGTTGAAACATCTTGTGAGGAGGGAGTCCAGCTTTTAGTACTTTAGATGGAGATTCACTTTGTTTATTTATAATTTTCCTGATCGTGTAATCTGACTGCTCTAGCTATGGACGAAGGTTGGGCTTGTTATTATAATATAATGCAATTGACTGAGACTGCTTGGGAGAAGCTGTCTGCACTGTTTAAAGCAGTCATTCAATACGGCCAATCAAACTTTTTGTTATCTAAAACCCTTGGTCTGATCTGTTACTTCTATTTCACTTTTCCAATTATGTGAATGACAGAAAACAAAGAATAATCATAAATAATGTTAAATCTGATTGCATTACAACCCAAGGGGTTTGCCTAGATTTTGTCTTGTTGATAATAATGTCATCTGCTATTCCTTGCAGTACTACTTGGCTCATTTAGATGCTGATAGTATCATCTGGTTCTGGAGTGGTTTTTTTCCATCAGAAATGGCATTTCAGAGTTAATGTGATTTTAATAGGTGTTACAACTTTTGAAGTGACACTGGCCGATGGGGTATGTATGGTAAAGTTACCTATTTTGCACTCTCATATAGTTTAAGATTTAAGCTTAGTTGTAGTTTACTATCTATATAACAAAGCTGGAAATCTCAAAATGAATATTCTTAAGATTAAGAGGCACACGAACACAGAAGACAGCCAACTGAAGACGAGATTTAAAATATAGTAAAACTTTAAAAATGAACAAAAACACTAAAGATGCTATTTTTTTTTCCCCTTGGGAGATGAAATAGGCTAAATCACTTTCTACCTGGAGTGGATGTTGAGATGCTGTTCAAAGGGCACCTGGAGACCTACTGTCTGCTCTGTGGCTCTGCATACTGTTCTATGGCTCAATATGAACATATGATTGAACAAATATACACCTAGAAATCTGCACGAAACAAGGCGAGGAGAAATATTTTGAACCTGGTGACCAAGTGCTAGACCAGGTATGTGTAATATTCTTAGTGTCTGAGTTCAGGCTGCCTACATGGTGTAACGAGGAGTGTTCTATAGAAGACAGATGAATTTCAGTTTTGACGACAGCCCAGCGCTCGCACCATCAGACAGAGGGCTGGCCCTTGCCAAATGCTGTTGCATCCCATCTTCCTCCCTTAACTCTCCTCTGCTCAAGCTACAAACTGCTGCCACACTGATTTTCTTGAAATGCTGCTCTGATTTTGTTATTGTCTTGCTCAGAAACCTCTTGACAGATTCTAGATTCCTTAGCCAGCCTTTCAGGTTCTCACCCTATCTTTCACCAACACCTTTCCCAGTCCTAGACAGTTTTAACTCTGCGCCTTTGCTTCCTTGCCACCTCCCTAGCTCGGAATGCCTGTCCTCTCCCCTCCAAATCCAGGTGTCTGTACTGAAAATCTCCACCTCACTGACCCAGCATACCAACCCGTCTTTGGAGTGCACATCATAGTGCCCATTATCTTTAGCATTATCTTTTCTATGCAATCTGTGAACTTTGCCTAACTCACTTTTGTTTCACTCTTCATAAAAACCTCAACTTAACCAACCATGATTTTCTTCATAATAAGTGTTTAAAAATGTTTTTCCTCAAGACATTTAAGATCCAAGCTGGCATTTTGTCACTGTGGCTCAGGGTCATTTTCTGCCACCTTGGAGGTGGCAGTCCGCACGCAGCATCACGCCTCTGTTCCCGATTATGTGTCATGGACAACATGAACTCTGCGTCCTACATAAAGTGCTTGTGGCCACTGGTCCCTCAGTGCATGGGCTCAGGTGGACATAGCTTTGTTCTCTTGATTTAAGATGAGCAACTGGCCCATATTTAGCTCCTCTGGGGTTAACTGCAAAAGAGGCGATACCCCAAAGGATCCTGTCAAGGGGTACTGGACCCCTGGCCTCATCTCTGCACTCAGTCTTTAATCTTGTGATGCTCCTGGCCCTGCCTGTTAATTCTGCCAACCACAGAGCCTTGAGCTCCCCTTTTTTGAAAGACTGTGCTGGCACTGCGCCTTTGGAAGCCTCTTGGATCATGACGCTGGAGGCTGGGGAAGACTGAGGTTGAAGTCAGCTCAGGTAGCCAAGGGAACAGAGTCAAGGATGCCATCCTGAGACAATGACCGATGTTATTTCCAGTGGCTGCAAAATCTGCTAGAGGTATAATGTCTCCAGCTTTATCAGTCTCCAAAATTTATCTGACAAGGACAAAAAGCTTGCTTTCAGCAACACCTCTACACAAAGACTCAAAATTACTAGTGAATTATTTTTCTCATTCTCCAAGCAGTAAAGTTCTGAGAATATGACAGCTATTCACCAAAAATTTTTTCACGTGCATCCATGATTTTTAAACATGATGGCGCAAACAGTACTTTCAGTGAAATACCCATCAAAATTCAAAGGGCCTCTCTTCTCTGTACTACCTCAGAACACTGCGTCTGTGTTGTCCTCCTTTTGCTTTGCCCTCTACTTCACTTGTGTACCCTCTGGCCTTCACCCCAGCAGACTGGATTTGAGGGCAGGGTCATGAATTCACCCTTGCATTTTATATTATGTCCAGAGACTATCAGGTACTCATAACTGGTAGGTGAGTTGTTTTATTTCCTCTTAATGGCCAAATATCAACTGTTAATTGGTATTTTTCTATTATCTTAAGATTAGTTCTTTAATTTTAGGACTTTATTCAGATGTTATAAAAGATTTTTAGGTCAGGTTCTTAGCAGTCTGGGAAGGCTCTAGACCAAAAAGATCATGTAACGGGCTCCTAGTATTCTCGGTAGGGGCTCCTTAATTTCGGCTGCTCTCCTATCCTGTTTTTTATTGCCAAGGCAAGTGCTGGCCTGTCAGCAGCATGATCAGTTTTAGACAATCACCAGTAACCTTGATTTATCTCCTTCTGACTTCAGCTCATTACAGGACACTACTCTAATGAATGTCTAGAGGGTGTCAAGGTTAAACATGTGGGCTCGCTTCAGACAGTCCTGATCTGAACACCCATTTCTTTCGTTTCAAAATGAAGCCACACAAAGCCTTAGTTTTCTCCTGGGTTAAGTTTCCTCATCTGTAAAATGGGGACAGTAAAGTACCACCTGTCATGGGGTGGTACTAAAGAGCACAGTACGCGCTGGCCATCTATCCCCATTCCACAGAAAGACATCTGAAATCTGGGGCCAAGGGTACCTACTCTCTTACCATAACAAGGGTTTTGTTTTGTGGTTTTTTAAAAATCACACAAGACCTCTTTTCCCAATCCTCCTTTTATACCTATTACTATCTCCTGTTTATAAAACAGCCTCAACACTTTTTTTATATAGCCTGTTACCAGTTTTCCTTTTTAGCAGAGCCACCAAAAAGCGGTATTAGTGTTTTTAAATACTTCAAATTTTTCCTAAATTAGAAGATGACAGCATATTAGTGAGCCTTTATACTGTGTTTCATTCTCCCTTTTACATTGCTGCCTTACTCTTCTGAATCAAAAGGAAGGATATTGTTCCCATTCTGAATAGCTCTGATTTTCAACCTTTCAAATCAGATTGTGAAATGACATCAGTAGAATAAGGTCTCCCTCTCCACTTCCCCCCCTGCTTTCCTTCACTACCTACCAGCTAGTAATATTTAAGCTCTAAAGTTCAGTACAGGCTACAAAAGCTTCTGGCCACAGTAGTTTTGTGGTTTTTTTGTTGGCTAGAAATAGGGTGGAGATGCCTAGGACTCGTTAACAGGCATTATTCTGATGCAGCTAAGCCCATTTTAAGTCAGATCAAGTTTACAGAGGTGTAGCTGATTATTTTTAATAATTAAATGGTGTCAGAACCAGCTGTGATGAATAGCACTGGGGTCTCAAATCATAAATAATTGAGAAACTGGAGTTGCATTTGATCATCCTGATCAAATTCTGTTCTCTAGAGGATAAATGTTTGTCCTGAATACCATCAACATAGTTAAATGCCTCAATATTCTTGCTCAGTCATCCAGCCAACAGTCAATTGAACTAAATCACTTTAACACCACACACAGTTGCTGTCCTCATGAATACAAAATGTTTGACTTTAAACCATGTTCTTTGTAGTTGAATAGGCACCTTTTTTGGTTAGCATCTAATAGGCATGTTAAATACTTGACATGTTTTTATTTGTTCCTTGAAACATGTGACTTTGCAGGATAAATCAGAGAAGGTTCTTTCACTGTAGTACCTTTCCTTTGATTCTGCTCAAAAAATAAAACAAAACAAAAGCACACAAAAAACTAGAGAAAGACTTCCTTTAAAATGAGTTGTTAATATAATTGCCTTTGTGATGGCCTTTGGGGACTTGGAATTTGAACGGAGACAGGAGCTTTGGTCCTGTTTTCTATTCCTTGCTCTCCATGCAAAATAACTGTGCCTCTGAGCTGTATGCACGGCTCTGCAGCAGGGGTCCCCCACCTCTGGACTGCAGGATGGTACCAGTCCAGGCCTGTTAAGAACTGGGCCACAGAGCAGGGGGTGAGCTCGAATGTAATGCTTTTGAATCATCCCAAAACCACCCTCTGAACCCTGGTTCATAGAAAAATTGTCTTCCACGAAACCTGTCCCTGGTGCCAAAAAGGGTGGGGACCGGTGCTCTAGAGAATCTCCAAGTGCTCACCTTTCATTATGTCATTTGCTCCTCATAACCAATTTTGTGAAGAAGTGGGCAGGTTAGCATCATCATCATCATCATCATCATCATTATCGTTTCCATTTTCAAGTGGAAACGAGACAGAGAAAGGAACTGACTTACCCAGAAAGCCAGAAGACAGCTGAGCTGCCACGAAAACTTGGCCTCCTCGGCACAACTCCTGCTGCCAGAGATGTGCCTTCGCGAAGCGCCTCAGTGACGAAAAGGGCAGTCTGTTTAATAGCTCCTCATTGACGCCCTGTCACTGCAGAACTGGCAGAGAACCCAGAGCTGGCAGGGGGCTGCGAGCTGCTCTCTACCTTGTTTCCTACACACCAGTTCTTAGAACCAGAAGGCTGTGTTAACCCAAGTCTCCTCTCCAAGGAGTAATAATTGTGACAACGACAGCAATCAACCTCTGCATGGGATTCACTGGGAACCCAGCACTTTCAAAGATTAAGTTAACCATTCACTTTTCCCAACAACTTTAGGATGTAGGTATCATTGGTGCCGCTTTAGCAATGAGGACACTGGGGATCAGGGATGAAGTGACTGGCCCAAGGACAACAAAGCTCATTACTGGTGGAGCCAGCGTCACGCTCCTCAGACCTCAGATCTGCTGCCTCCAGCACACCTTGTGCACCCTGCGAAGGACGTGGGATGAGGAGCCCTTTTCTCTGTTTTACGGCTGCTGTCCCAGTTACAATGAAAATGAAGAGCCTGAATTTGCCTTTTTTTTCCCTTTCTTACCACTAAGGCTGTTCTTCAATAGAAGTGCATGTTCAGGACATGTGCAACCTAATTTTTATTCAGAAAAGAATGCTTGTTAAAATTATAAGTGTAAGAAAAAACAATCTCCGCTTTCCTCATTGTTGTGCTTTCATTTCAAATTTATAAAAATCCCTGTAAAATAAGAGTTAGGTCTCTGGAAATTTCATTTTGAAACATACCTCAAAATCCTCGGAGAAGCCATGCTGGTTATTAGAATAGAGCTCACCGATGTGTTTCACAAACTGTTTGACAGGAATGGCTTCCATGTCATCTGTGGGAATCAAATGATATTCAGAGTCACAGAGTCCACTTCCATAAAACAAATAACACTGATATAGGATTATGGAAGACAAATATTTGATTTTTGAAAAGAGTGATATAATTCTATCACCTGAAACAGACATCCTCAAGACAAGCATCAGCATTTATTTTACATTAGGATCTCATTATGATTTTGAATGCCTAATTGCTAGATAAAGTATGGTTTTTTAAAAAAGGTACATCATAAAAACAAATTACCTCTATTGTTATATTCAAGGCAATTTACATAGTTAAAATGACCACATCATACACTTAACTAAAAGTCTGATCTTATCAAGGAAGGATAACTGTTTGTCAAGGAATTTTATTACAACCTAGGTTTTTGTTTTATTTTATTAAATTGCCATTCAATGGGGTCCAGCTTGTAGTTGGAGCAGTTAAGTTCTATTTCCAATCTTTGATGTCTAAGCAATCTTTATACATCATTACAGATAGATGCCATTTTACCAGCTGGCTTCGGGTACAATGTCATCTATGTTTGAGTGTTCAAAATTTCAGTTCAAGACAGCTGTGTCTACGTGATGCCAAATAATCAGTTTGGCTGAATTAACTGAATTTTTCTGGTGTTGACAGACTAGGTATAGATTCAGGAAGACTCCACATTCCGATTTATTATAGTGTTGTCACTTCGCGAGGACGATCTCAGTTTGTGAGCCCCAAGAATGTTTTATGCTGCTTTATCTGATCTGATACTTGAGTACTGCCGTGAAACTGCCACACCCCACTAACAAGCTCCCCAACCTCTTCCCTCCCCCACAAATATTTCCTTTTAAAAATACTCTGCTGAATGCGAGATAAACAACAGACATGACATTTACTTTATTCAGAGTGAAAGATCTTTGGCAAACGCACAAACATCTAAACTGCCACAGATGCTTTTCTTAGCAAAGGGTATGAAGATCTGTATGTGTAAATGAGGTCCTACTTTGGCAAGAATGTTATAGATCCAGGCTTGACAATCTGATTTCCCTTCATCTGGTGACAGTTAACATTGACTATGTCATTCCTCCTCTTTCTTTTGAGAGAGCAAAGCTCTAGGGTGGCTTTTTGCATCTATTGACATTTTCAAACTTGAATCATTCTTAAGCGGAAAATAGCATCTCTTATATTTCATTTAAGGAAGGTGATTTATATGTTCATGATCCAAGTTGCTTAGCATAGCAGTGTTACTTATCAAATAGGTGGTGCTCTGCACTCACAAATTCTTTCTGTGTGAACAAATTAAAGACCTAATCATTTTAATAGGCCACCTTATGAAAAAATTGCCAAGTTATTTACAAATATTTCAGGATTGAAGATGTTCATGAATATGCAATCATTTTGCAAGCCCAAGAAATCTATAGCTCCGTAATGATGTAACCAGCATTAACAAAGTAAGCAGAGCCAAAATGTTTCCCCAGAATATTTAGCAGAATGCAGAGTTGGAGAAAAGTTTCCGAAATTATCTGATCAGTTCACTTAAGATGTTCAGAAGTAAGCAAATTCTAAAATAATGATCAAATCGTTAAGATATTATCTTAGGTTGAAAAGGGGGTTAACGTGTACAAAACTGGAGAGTCTCTAGAAGATTAATCCAAGAATAAACTTATCTTCAGACAAGAAGCAAAATAAGTGAGATGGAATATAACCTAGTCCCACAGTCACTCCAGGATATAGACTACAGCATTTCTCTCCTGTTTCCGAGGGCAGAGTGTCATCGTTAATAGTGTAATAGGTTGTGGACATTTATTCCATAATGATAGTTTAGAATTGTACATTCCTAATAAAGTTATGGTGCCATGATTAAGCACATGGACTCTAGCTCAAAATAAGAAAAAAACAATATCATATTTAAAGCTACTTTATTCCACAAGGTACAAGCCACAGCATTTTAAAGTTCGCCCCCCTTAAGTCATTAAAAACATATTTTAATGTTAACAGTTTATTATTTTTTCCTGTAAAGTACTCAACTGTAATATCCAAGCTAAAGCCACACATGCCCAGAGACTAGTCTACCTGCTATCCCCGCGGCTAGATGCAGCAGAAATCCAGCAGAACTTGCATGTTAATTATGGCCATATATGACTCACTAGTCTCTCCAATTTGCTTTCTTTTCCAAGGAAGTCTGATCACACCCCTCTGAGTTTCCAGGCACCACCAGTAATGCCATAAAACTAACAGACAGATACACATACACACCAAACATGCACACTGTACTGACAACCACCAGCTACCCAGATAACACATTATTTGTTTTTTAATCAAGGTAAATGAAACTAAGGGATCGTAAATCTTTTTTCTTAATATTAAGATGAATATAAGGCAATGACTAATTAGAAGCTCTGATAGTTTTCCTCTTATATAGTTTTTCCATTAAATTTCTTTCAACATGAGCCAGATAATTATACAATTGCTGTATCTAGCAGAAGGCCAAGCAATTAGGACATCATCATAGATCTGCGCTGCTCAATCTTCATCTGGACAGACCCTGTGTTACAAGAAGCGATCTGTCTGTAAGACACTATTTCCACCTAAACATCTGAGTTTCATTAACAAATGCAGAGAGTATTAGCAGCGTAATGATGGACCAGGCACTTTCTGTGCCCTTTTATCTACATGCATTAACATGTAAGATTTTCATACTCATCTTACAATTGAGAAACAAGCTCAGAAAGATTAACTGAAGGCTGGAGTGTGGCTGCAAAAGCTGGCAGCCAAGGTCAAGAGTGCTCCTGCTCGGAGAGAACGGGAATTGCCTGGGGAAGGGTGAAAAGGAAATCCTGGATGAGGCCTTGACTAAGCACCTAGGACTGAGCCAGATATTAGTGAGGTGGTCTCTGTTCAAGGGCAAGCTTTGTGTCGGAGAAGTGAGGATGGCAAGTGCCATGAAAGGGATGGATCTGATGACTCCGGCAAGAATACATGTCTCTGATGGAACGGTGATGGGGTGATGGCGGGGTGGGGTGGGAAACAAAGAGGAAAAAAAGCTTAGCTGGGATCCAGGTGAAGATGTCCTCACTAACCACAGGCGAAATGGGACTTTGTTACTGTATGATGAAAGATGGTCTAATGACTGTTGGTATAAAGAGAAGACAGCCGCCATTTGTTAAGCCTTTACAGGTTGCCAGGGACTATGCTATGCACTTTTCATACATTTATCTTTATAAGAACTAGGTAAAGGGCACACTGTTATCCTCACATCACACATAAGAAAGCCAAGGCAGAGCTGAGATTTGACTCCTCGTGTGTACGGAACCCGATGCCTGTGCTCCCATGCACTGTGATTCATTCTCAAAGTACCACAGTTTCAAGGAAAAGTGAGGAATTATAGTAGCTCGGTTAATCTGATAAAATGTTATTTTATAATTTTGTGCCAAAAATTTTACTTATTTTCAGATAACAAAGGTATATTAAATTAGGCAAAAAAGGGACCACTACTGTTATCACTAAATCACCGCGTGAATCAGTACTTGAAAAGTGGGCTTGTTGTTAGTAAATAATGTTTATACTTCATTCTAAGATTTTAGCCTTTTGTGGCTGGGATTAAATTCTGTAGGTAAGAGGCCTTTTATTCTGGCCGATACATATCCAAATGTTTTTGTGTTTCACTTCTGATGAAACCTGAAATTAATGTCTGGTTTATAGGTACCAAAAGCAGAGCATTCGAAGAGGGTGAACACCTCCTGAGAATAAACTACCAAAGCTGAGAGATTCTAGGACAAAAAAAAGAGCTGAATAACACTGACCTCCAATGCAACACTGCAGGAAATAGGGAAAAATGTATCTGAACACTCAAAAGGGTTGTTTCCAAGATCTGCAGTGAGGTCTCTGTTGTACTTACGTGTTCAGAGCCATTAGAGGGAAAGCACCCAGATTTTGTCTATGTTTCCAGCCTACTTGCATATGGTAACTCTGCTTTCTCTTAATCTTGAGGAATAACAGACAAATAAAGAAAAATGGAAAAACTAAGCTTTCTTGTCTGCAATTTTTGGTTTGATATCCAAAAGAAAAAATCAGCACCCAAGGCTGTCCCTGGACAGACACCCCAAGACACTGCTCTGGGGTAGGACCTTGAGCCTGTACGCCAGCAAAATTGTGTAGCTGCCATTCTGTCAGCCACAGTGATGGAGTACTCCCTGAGTGCCAGGCTCCCAGAGGCAGTGGTGGGAATGCAAAAGCCAGAGCCAGGCTGCCTGGCAGTGGGACTTCACCTCTGTGTGACTCCCTTTCTTCAACTGTAAAATGGGAATGATAACAGCACCTAATTCACAGAGTGTTATGAAAAATAAACTGGATTATGTAAATACTTACAGGAGTGCTTGGCTTTTAGTAAATGCTCAATAACTGTGATGTACTGTTAGGTGTTAATTGCTTCACAAGTATGGCCTCCTACCTGCAAGACCTAGGGGCTGTCATTATCTCCACTTCAGAGATGGGAAAATGGGCTAAGAGAGACCAAGGAGCTTGGCAAGGTCCACTGTCATTATCAAGTGTGAGGGCCAAGGCTGACTCCCAAGCTGGCTTCTTCCCTGGTATAGGACTTCTCTAGATCTTAAATTGAAAACACATGACTGAATGGGCAGAGAACCATGTAATATATTTTAAATAAACTTTCCAACAGAAATGAACTGCTTTAGCTTTCAGGGTAAGCCTCAGTTACCTGGAAAGCTCACACTGGTACTCTGGTCACCTTGAGGGTGCCAGGTGCATCAATTGTGACAGCATTTACCTTCTGGCCAAGATGCTTAATTGCTTGGGTTAAGTGGCTTAAGGTCTGCTTATTTATTCATTTACTTATTTAGACAGGGGAAGAGAGGGTGAAAGAGCGGGAGAGAAACATCAATGAGTGGTTGCCTGTAGTGCACTCGCTAGTGGGGGCTTGTCCTGCAACCCAGGCATGTGCCCTAGACTGGGAATCAAACTGGCAACCCTTTGGTTCACAGGCCGGTGCTCAATCCACTGAGCCACACC